CATTATCATTATCATTATCATTATCATTATCATTATCATTATCATTATTATTATTATCATTATCTTTATCATTCTCATTCTCATTCTTCTTATCCTTATCCTTATCCTTATCCTTATCCTTATCCTTATCCTTTTTCTTATTCTTATTCTTATTCTCAGGTTGCTGGAAGGAAAGGATTTCCCCATGTGATATATTCAAGAATCTGGAGGTATCCGGATCTTCATAAAAATGAACTCAAACAAGTCAAGTATTGTCAGTACGCTTTTGACCTTAAAGCTGACGCTGTTTGCGTCAATCCTTACCACTACGAGAGGGTTGTGAGTCCTGGTATTGATCTTACAGGAATATCCATTCAGGTAAATATCCAGATACAGGGGTATTTATTTTGAAAAAAATGGGCCCTAAGTGCTAAGGATCCGTAACATTTTGGCTTCCTGGATCTGAATTTGCAAAAATATGCGAATCCACGGATCACATAGATTCATCCTGCTTATAAACAGTCCCCTCAATTTTAAAGACAGGGTCGACTTTTAAGTATTTTATCTCTCTAACTCACTTATACTTTTCTGTAGCCCTTAACATGTACATTTTAGCGTTATAAAGCAATTGTTGTTAGCAACGTTTAAATAAACATAGGTTTACACCATAAGGTTGCTAAGATATATGGATAAGAAAATTCGAGTTCGATGCCAGTGTTCAGTTATTTGACAAAGCCAGGCTAAATGTTTGCAATAATAAATCATTATTTTTCAATGTAACACAGAAAGAAAGAAAGAAAGAAAGAAAGAAAGAAAGAAAGAAAGAAAGAAAGAAAGAAAGAAAGAAAGAAAGAAAGAAAGAAAGAAAGAGAGAGAAAGAGAGAGAAAGAGAGATAAAGAATGAGAAAGAAAGAATGAGAAAGAAAGAATGCGAAAGAAAGAAAGAATTGTATTTGTAGGATTCTTCAACTGAGACAGGTTGGATTCCTCCTCCTTCTTCAGGTAGAAATCAATTATTCAATCATTTCAAAAATCAATCATAAGTTATAAATCATTTAATCAACATCATAGAAATAATCAGTATATCGATTGAAGTCAATTCAAAGTAAAAATCATTTCTTGGAAATCAGTCAATTTTTAATAGAAAAAAATTTATTTAATCAATCAGTTACTTAATAAAAATCTAACAGTTAATAAATCATACGATTTAAGAATTAGCAGTTAATAATCAATCAATCAATTCTTATAAATGATCATTATTTTAAATATGTAATTAAAAAATACAACTCAATCAATTCACAATTTTTAATTTATTTTACAAGTCAACAATTCCACAAAGTAATATTCACGTGTGCGCTCAGCTAAATTTAATGGGACTGTCTTTGTAATGGGACCTTCTATATAAAGAAGGTTCTGTATGATTCACTTTATAGTATCCTTTAAAACTAAACTGATCACAATGTGTCGTTGTTTTTCCAGTTTGAAACGTGTTCATATTTAAATGGTACCGTTGTGAATCGGAAATCCACAGTCACATTAACAAATTTGGCGATATAAATGATTTGTTTAGGATGGTCAGGCGGGTATAATGATTACCCAGGTGTCTGGTACGGCGGTCCCGGGGGCGGTAACACAGTTCGTCCAGGTAGAAAATGACCGCTAAGTTTTGCTTTTATGAAGTCCACGAACTGCAATCTTGGAAAACCCTCAAACTCTTAATTTTGATTAAAACTAACACGGCATCACTGTTCACTCCAGTTCGTTTTATGTACCGGGTCGAATTTCAACCAGCCAGAGCAAGCTGTTTAGTTCGAATACAGACAATATAACAAAGGCAAAGCGGGACGGTACGCCAAATGAATCTCAAGAAACTGATTACTCGCTGCAAACTCTAATTTTGTAATCAAATAGCCTTGAAACCTGAATTCGTGGACCTTTTTTAAACTTAAAAGGCCGGTAAATCAAATAGTCACAGTTTGAAATATCACACCACCAGTTTTCAATGATATAAGGATTTAAAATGTCGAGGTTGATGAAAATAAACAGTTTCTTACTTTTCAAGGAAGAAAAATTAATTAAAAAAAAAATCAGATTCCGACGCAGCTGAACCGCCGTCCCCTGTCAGTAATCCAGCCACAGAATCCTGGGAACCTAGGTTAGTTTTTAATATATTTTTCACACACACACATATTCTTAATAGGAGAACAATCCCATAAACCTGAGAAAATGAATGAATGAATGAATGAAAAAAATAAAAAATCTCTGATTTATATACTAGATAGCAATCTAAATATCGGTCAAATTTATCTAAAGAGCGTTTTAATTCTATTCACTGAGCACTCCTGTATGCCGAGTCCATTAGCGCCTGATCCAATCAGGGTTCAGTCATGTGTTTGTCTATTGTGAACCAATAGAAATAGTATGGCGGTAACAATATCCAATCAGAGTTATGAATCCTTTAATCGACGCTATCAGTAAATGGAAATATTTACTGAAAAATTCAGAGCTATTACACTTTTCAAATTTGAAACTGTAGAGTGAAGAACATAAAAAAATATTTTTGCTGTTTTTTTCTGCTAGTTTCGTTTGAAAGAGAGATAAAGCTATACTTGTAGGGTAATTTTTCTGTATGTGTGCCTGAAAAGTATCCAAGAAGCCAAATGTTTTGAATTTACAGTTCAAATTTTGCGCTTAATGCATATTTGGCCACCAACCTAGATTTATTTTTGTGTACGCCCTTGTTAATTTAATCAATTATATAAAGAAGATATTTTCATTTTTCTAGCCAAAAAAATCATGTTTTCTGACAAAGTCCCCCATTTCTGTAGCCTAACCACACATCACTATCACAGAAAACCCACAATTGAAAGTTCTAAATAAAAAAATATAGAGATATATTATTCATTATTTCTTATAGACAAACCATTTAAAGATAACGTTGTAAATTGGATATGCCACAGTGCCACTCCATAAATGAAGGGACCCCTTGATTATTTTTTCTTGGAACAGTTTTACTTAATTCTGAACTCTAGGCAAGGAGCATGTTCCTGGGAATGGTGGCCTCCAGACCAATCCCTGGATGAATGGTCACTGGTGGGACTCCATCCACCCCCGTGGGACACAACACAGAATGCTGGGAAGGTGGGACATCAAGCCTGGGACAACCCAGGACAAACTAATCTTAACGGAAACCATTCAGATCAAGGTAGGCTGTCGATCAGTCGATCTAGTTTAACATGATTATAGCTTATGCCTGTTTAAAATAAAATTTTTATCCAATTAAGTTATTTTTAGAAAATCAGCATACTTAATTTTCAAAACTCATACAACCTACAAGGAGCTTGTGTTTTTTTGCATAAATGTTTCGTATTCTTACTACGACAGCGGATTGCAACGATGTAAGGATTAAACAAATATTAAATAAATATTACAGGAAACTACGGGTCTGGAGAACGTGTTGGTTCATGGTGAACTTTTAATCTTCGATCTACCTCAGGTATATAATATAATATGATATAATATGATATGATATGATATGATATAATATGATATGATATAATATAATATAATATAATATAATATAATATAATATAATATAATATAATATAATATAATATAATACAGTGAAACCCTTAATAACGAATACATCGGAAGAATTTATCAAATGTCGTCTTGACAATTTTTCTATGAGTTCTATACTATATTACGTAAATTTCAGTATTTGCGAAAATAAATAAATAGCCATGAATGTGCTGGAACAGTTTTAAAGATTCCCATATAATCATTTAATTAAAAAACTAAATATCTGCAACATTCCATTATCAGAAAGGGAAGAATACGACATTTGATGAATTCTTTCGATGTAGTCGTTATTAAGAGTTTCACTGTAATATAACCCCATTTCACTACACACAAACCTGTCAATTTGATATTCCTTAACTGTCTAGATATCTTTAATGCGTTTGAATCGCCTGTTAATGTTATCTTCAATGATTAAGCTGAATATATTTCTTATTATAGGAGGTTGCTGTTTTTATAGATATCTACTTTGGTCCATATTCAGAGCTTTTGAAACAGGTATTAGAGAATGCATAACATTTAGGTATTTGAAGAATTACAATGAAACAAAAAAATAAAACTGAGAATATTTTTGGACAATGAGGAAAAAACATCCCATAAATTTCATATCTTATTTTACTTTGTTTTAAAAATAACATGAATGTTGAATATAAAACTATTTTTAAATTTGTTTGAATTCAGGTGAAGCTTATTGTTTGGTGTGCGGTTAATGTGTTGATCTTAACATTGGCTTCTCTGACAATTATTACGATGATTATTCAAACAATCAGAGCTCATTTTATCCAACCAATTGGAGCCGGAGCTCATTTCAACCAACCAATCAGAGCTCATCTTAACCAACCAATCAGAGCTCATTTTAACCAACCAATCAGAGCTCTTTCTATCCAACCAAATAGAGCTTATCTTAACCAACCAATCAGAGCTCCTATTTTCATCATAATAATGATTCAGGTTAGAATAAAACCTTATAAATCTTAAAGGCGATTATAATACATTAAGTTTTTATTGTCAAAGTTTGTATGATTTGACTATTTGGGAAAATATAGGACCTTTTGGGAGAAAAAAAATGATTTTTATATCAAAAATAAACTAATGTAAAAATATGCATGGTGGTAGCCTGTGTAGGGTGTCCCATTTAAATTTTTTCCTCAATTTATAGATTTTTTCCTAAATTGCGTTGAAAGCCTTTATTTAATGCTTAATCGACTCTTTTTATTTATCATTTAATTTTATAAATAAATCTTGATATTTTAGAGGACCCTGGATTTATCATTAACCAGGGAACGGAAATTACGAGGAACTACAGCGAGCAACTGTTCCATGAAGTCCATGACGTCCATGAATCCAGTGAAATCCATGAATTCACAGTTAAAGTACATGAATCCACAATTGAAGTCCATGAAACCATGGTTCATTAACTGTCAAGGGTTTCAGGACATATAAATAAATCGGTTTTACAGGGTATACCAGGTTGAAATATAATCAAAATTTATGAATTTATTAAAATTGTTTAATTGGCCAGGAGCCAAGATTGGTAAATCGTACTCGTAAAATTATTATTTTACAGTTAAAATGTTAGTCATTTTAAAATCTAAAATTTACACGCGATCATGAAAAAGTCTTTAATTGATTTTATTATATTTCATTTTCCTGCTTTTCAGCAGTCCGCATATTTTCCTGCCACTTCAAAACAAAGTGATAAATTGACCTCAATTGTGAAAACTAAAAGTCTGGTTTTTAATACTAAAATTAAAACATTTTCGCCACCTTTTTCACGGAGGCTTGATGTGAATTTTTTGACCAATTTCCTAATTTATAGTTTTCCAAAGTGTACAGTACACTACTAGAATCGTATCATGTTAAGTCAGCGAATACCGGTGCAAAAAATGAAGCTTTGTTGTTGAATACTGAATATTGATGCATACCTTTTCTTAAACTGCTCAAAATAGCCGTTCATTTTACTATGCATAGTGAATCTTTTTCTTTTTCAAATCTCATACGTTACAAAAAAACAATACTCGTCATAAATTTAGAAACGAAGATTATTTTTATATTTCACTCTTAGTGCCAATAGATGATATATTTTAATATTTTAGAGACACACTGCCAAACCATAAATGAATCAAAATATTTTACTTATTTTTCAAAAGGATCGTTTTTTCTTCTTAGCAGAATATTTTTTTCGAGCAATCTCTATTTAATCTCATAGCAGCCTTGCCTCAATGTTGTTATTATTTTTTTCAAGAAAGGGTTATTTATTTTCAGATCATGTAAATGTTCACAAATTATATGCAGTAGAGTACATTAATACAGTATGTTCCCTAGCAATCTCTATTTAATCTCATAGCAGCCTTGCCTCAATGTTGTTATTATTTTTTTCAAGAAAGGGTTATTTATTTTCAGGACAACCCCCCCCCCCCTTCCCTATTTTAAAATTTCTGGGCAGAAATAGGAAACATTATCTTACAAATTTCTTACTGTTTGGCAAATTTTCGGAAAAATATGAATACCCCCCCCCCCGCGCTTCTTAAACTAAAATTTTTGAGGGGGGGGGGTTACAAGAAAATGCATACCCTTGTAACAAAATTTAGTCAAGTTTTGGTCTGGTGATTTTTTTCAGTGTTCTAGGAACACTCATGTTTTGTTTAAAATAAGGTTTATTAACTTTGGTTTAAATATTGACCAACTATTTTAGTATTGAAAACAATCCATAATTTAACGACCAAATCACCGTTTTCTTATCAATTAATAATACAAATTTAAATAAATTATCTACTGCAAAATTTAAGCTTCTCTAATTTACTTAAAGTTTATTTTTTCTCCGAACTGGAAAGTCAAAGTGCTAAAAAATGTGTTTGGTTGTCATTACTTTTAAGAAAATTAAAAAAATCAAAACAAAATTTGAATTTCTAAATCTATATAGTACATAATACATGTGTTAATTATCCCAGTGAATAAGTTAAAGTGAACTAAATACCGGTAACTGTTGATATTATTATTATCATGTTATAAATTAATTTTTGTCTTTAATCATGATTAAAAATCTATTATTTTTCAGCAGCAAATTCTACAAACCATTTTTTTTGTTTTCAATAGAACCGTTTAGTTTGGGTAAATCTACCGAACTTATGTCCCTCTCCTTATATTATAACATTAAAAAAACGAAAAACACGGCAACATTTTTAGTCTTTGACAATATTCCCCATTTCCCATTTAATCACTTTGTACTCCATCTAAACCCTAGTATTACGCTATGTACTGTGTACCGTGTTTAAAACATTTACCTCTGAATTTACCTCAAACTTAAACATTTAACCTCTGCTGATCAATATTATGATCATGTTGACCTTTGGAGATCAGTATTATGATCATGTTGACCTCTGTAGATCAATATTATGATCATGTTGACCTCTGTAGATCAATATTATGATCATGTTGACCTCTGTAGATCAATATTATGACCATATTGACCTCTGAAGATCAATATTATGATCATATTGACCTCTGTAGATCAATATTATGATCATAATGACCTCTTTAGATCAATATTATGATCATGTTGAACTCTATAGATCAATATTACGATCATGTTGACCTCTATAGATCTATTTTATGATCCATGATCATGTTCCTCGTGTTTATTATTATTATTATTAAAATAAAATACTGTACGGCAATAGTTAGTTTAGAAAGCTTTCAATAAAACGGATAAACCCCAGATCTGGTTTTTTAATGATCAGTACAGTTCAGACAGATCTTATATTTCAGAATATCAAATAAATAGTGTTCTTAATCGTTCCGTTCGTTTTTGGTAAGTTTTTTTTTCCAAATATGTATTTTGACCCGGACACTGACAGCAACTAATTGCAACGACGCAAGAATACACATAAATGAACGTGTTAAAACTATAGTTTTTTGGTTCGTTCGTAAGGAAAAAAATATTGGAGTGTTTAACAAAAGTAAACTTTAACAGAAAACAGGTTTGGAGTGCTGGTTGTTTTATAAATTGAACCTTTTATATTTAAAAAAATAATTTAAGATTTGGTTATTTTGTTATTTGACTGAAAAATTAGATCAGCGTATGTTTCTAAAAAAAGACAAAAGGAAACTTTTCCGCTTTATACTGGTTTTAATGTGGACATGATGTAGACTTTTCATAGATAGGACAATTTAATGGACATTTTATAAATATGGCTTTTAATTTGATATTGTAGGATATATATTGTTATGGACTGCAAGTGCATTCATAGATAAGACATTTCGTATAAATAGGACATTTTAACATTCATTAGACAAAGGATATTCAGTAATTACCAGAAAACTAAGGAATAGGAAGACGACATTATAGCAATACTTAAGTGTATTTGATAGATTTATATACTTATTAAATCACCAATTTATAAAACGGGTCTGTTTAAACTGCACAATTTTTGTGTCTCGTGCTTATTGGACTTTTTAAAGTAATAACTTGATTTTAAAGACGTCTTTCTATTTCAGAGTTGTCTGATTATCACTGCATAGTATATATAATATATAACTTCTTAAATAAGCCTAGAACATTATTTTATTGTTCATTAAGAAATATTTTTGACTGCTGGACAGTGGACACAGTTGTTTCCTGTTTGAAATTCTTAAACAATAGACATTTGATAGGCAGGACCTTATTTTATTCAGGATAAACAGAGAGAGATATTTCAGGGTTATAGATTTGGACAGTGCACGATAATCTAATTAACATTTTAATTTCAATTTCATTGATTGGATTAGGCATATTAATATATATACCGTGGTGAGCATATATACATAGAGAATAGAATATATATTAGAGTGGAATTTAGGCAATTCTTCGGTATGAATTTTTTCAGTCCCTTTCAGTCTGAAAGGAAGTTCAAAGTGTACAATTCATGTAAATGTTCACAAATTATATGCAGTAGAGTACATTAATACAGTATGTTCCCTTGACTATCCATTTCAATTTCGAATTTTTAAAGCTGTTAAATAAACTTTATAAAATGAATTAGGTGAATAAAAAACATAATTTGATTTATAGATATTACGTAAAATCATCGTTTGTAAAGTGAAAGGCATAGAGCCTATGTGAAATGATCATTGGTCAATTATGAAACCAGCATATTTCATAATTTGGTGTTCCTTTAATATTAATTTTAGATTTTCTATAAAATGATGTTCCAGGGCCTAAACGGTTACATGGCGCAAATATGTGAAGTACACCTGCAGTATGAAAACAGTACAACAAAATGGCCGTTTTACACTTTTTTCTACTAAATTCCACTCTAATATATATTCCATTCTCTTTGCATATATATCAATACAAAATTGTTTTCTGAGATGGTGATATAATGCAGAGGCTGGCATATATCATTAAAACAGTTTTCGTGTCAGTAACCAAAACTGTATCGATATATTTATGCTGACCAGTGACCACTCTACAAATCCGTATATATAAAGTAGTAATCTCTGTTTTTTTTTGTCTGTGTCTGATCACAATCCGTGAACCCGACCGATTTGCCTCAAATTTTGATTGGGGAGATCAGGAGACATACGGGAATGTTATTTGCTTGGTTTAAAAATTATAAATTGAGACAAATTTAATAGAGAAAGTTCGGTTTGCAAGCATAGCTGTAATTCCTAGCTAGATACATATATTGACAACAGACATTTTTCTCAATTTCTTCATTCTCTTACAAATAAACGACTTCATTTTCAATACTTATATTTAAATATTTATCCGTGGTTAATACAATGTAAAGGCCATTTTTTCGAATTGAATAAAAACATGAAAATTTAATTCTTTTCTTCTGCCTTCTCCAGGTTTACTTGACTAAAAATAGTAGTGTTATTTTATTTTTATTTTTTATTTTGAAAATTTTTTAAACATTTTAAATTTTTTCTATTTATTTTAAAATTTTCCAATAAGCATGGAAATTAAGCGACGACTGAAAAATCGTCTTTGTTCAACGCGGAAATTTTTCTTTAACACAATTTTAGAGCAGTCGTCGTCTTCGTATAATCACCACAATGAAGACGACTTTTTAATTGTGAGAAAGTTGTATTATACCTACAGTAGTGAGAAAGTTGTATTATACCTATAGTAGTGAGAAAGTTGTATTATACCTATAGTAGTGAGAAAGTTGTATTATACCTATAGTAGTGAGAAAGAGCAAATCCCCAAAATATTAAATTGAAGAGAAGAAAAACTGCAATATTAAACATCTAAATAGAGAAAATATTAAATATAGTTAATAGCAATTCCTTAAAATGGTGAACAATTCCTTTAAATGGTGGAAAATCCCTTTAAATGGTGAATAATTCATTTAAATATGGAGCTATTACTTTACATGGTGAATTATTCCTTTAAATGGTGAATTATTCCTTTAAATGGTGAATTATTCCTTTAAATGGTGAACAATTCCTTTAAATGTTAAAAGATCCCTTTAAATGGTGAATAATTCATTTAAATATGGAGCTATAACTTTACATGATGAATAATTTCTTTAAATGGTGAACAACTCCTTTAAATGGTAAAAAATCATTTAAATGGTAAAAAAACCATTTAAATGGTGAATAATTCATTTAAATGGTGAATAATTCATTTAAATGGTGAATAATTCATTTAAATGGTGAATAATTCATTTAAATGTGAAGCTATTATTTTAAATGTATAAGTGTATACCCGGATTACCTGTCCTAAATAATTAAGTGTGTATACCCGGATTACCTGTCCTATGTAATTAAGCGTGTATACCCGGATTACCTGTCCTTAATAATTAAGTGTGTATACCCGGATTACCTGTCATAAATAATTAAGTGTGTATACCCGGATTACCTGTCCTAAATAATTAAGTGTGTATACCTGGATTACCTGTCATAAATAATTAAGTGTGTATACCCGGATTACCTGTCCTAAATAATTAAGCGTGTTTACCCGGATTACCCGTACTAAATAATTAAGTGTGTATACCCGGATTACCTGTCCTAAATAATTAAGTGTGTATACCCGGATTACCTGTCATAAATAATTAAGTGTGTATACCCGGATTACCTGTCCTAAATAATTAAGTGTGTGTACCCGGATTACCTGTCCAAAATAATTAAGTGTGTATACCCGGATTATCTGTCATAAATAATTAAGTGTGTAAACCCGGATTACCTGTCCTAAATAATTAAGTGTATACTGGGATTACTTGTCATAAATAATTAAGTGTGTATACCCGGATTACCTGTCCTAAATAATTAAGTGTGTATACCCGGATTACCTGTCATAAATGATTAAGTGTGTATACCCGGATTACCTGTTCTAAATAATTAAGCGTTTGTCCCCGGATTACCTGTCCTAAATAATTAAGTGTGTAAGCCCGGATGAAGCCTGGGTCCCAGCCCGGATTTCTCCCCCATAGATTAATGTTGTCTGATACAGTGAATATATCGGGCTCCACATCAGTAAACTTCTTCTTGTGATACCGAGGATTTATCGGACTATATATATAATATATATATCGGACTATATATATATTATATATATCGGACTATATATATAATATATTTATCGAACTATATATATAATAGATATATAGGACTATATATATTATATATATAGTCCGATATATAGTCCGATAAAAATCTTAGCCCATATTTTTACCTGAATGAGACTGGATGTCGTTTAATAAATGTATCCATGAAGGTATGGATTCCCATAATTACAATAATAATATTAAAGGAGTACAGAAGCCAGACATCTATCATCTGAAGAATAATAAATATTTTATCAAATACTTAAAAAAAAATTTCAACAATCAGTTTAAATGGTGAACAATTCTTTTAAATGGTGAAAATCCCTTAAAATGGTGAATTTTTCCATTTAAATGGTGAACAATTCCTTTAAATGGTGAACAATTCCTTTAAATGGGGAATATTTCATTTGAATGGTGAACAATTGCTTTAAATGGCGAACAATTCCTTTAAATGGGGAATATTTCATTTAAATGGTGAACAATTGCTTTAAATGTTGAACAATTGTTTTAAATGGTGAACAATTCCTTTAAATGGTGAACAATTCCTTTAAATGGGGAATATTTCATTTAATTGGTGAACAATTGCTTTAAATGGTGAACAATTGCTCTAAATGGTGAACAATTGCTTTAAATGGTGAACAGTTTCTTTAAATAAGCTTCCCGTTTTACCTTTAAATATGATGTTTTAGGAACCATCTTGTCGATAGAAGATTGTATTGTTGCAACGATCATCATTGTAGTGATAGAAATCATCATGCGATCCTCATAAAAAAGTTGTTTGTAACATCAAACATTATTTATAGTATAAATTATATATACTTAAACAGATACGTTTCAATTTCTGTTTTTCAATGACAACTTTTATTTTGATAATAATAATCTGCAATGCTTATAAGGATAAAAAGGCAGTTTTCTAAAAGTTTGATGTCTGTCTTGTCAAAACAAAATTGTTTTAAAATCTTTTTTATTTTGCCCCATTTATGTTTTCCTGTGATTATATCAATTTTGGGCTGACATAATATGAATAATTTCGTTATCGATGCTCTGACAAATTTATTTAAAAGATTTGCAAAATCAAAGTTTTTACCTGAAAGTTTGAAATTTTGAAGAAGAAAGTAAGAAATGCAATTCCAATAAGAAGAATGGACTATAAGAGCAAAGAACATAATTAATTATTTGATTTTAAATAATGTTTATATCTTTAGGATATTGAAGTTGAAATATTTAAAATGAGATTTTAATAGAAAATATATATATATTTTGGCTCAGTATACATCTCGCAATATAACAACTTGCCTAAGTAACAACTCGCCTAAGTAACATTCCACCATATGACAACTCGCCTAAGTAACATTTCACCATATAACAAGTCGCCTATGTATAAATTTTTAAATTAAATTATAGTGTTAATGAAATTATACAAGAAAGTCAACAAATCAAAAATCCGCAAATACGGTATAATTCTAACAATGTCGGGAGCACTGCACGCATCTACAACTTGCGGGGGAAACCATCTTTGGTTGACATAAACAACATCTCTTACAGTAAATTTAAATCTACTTTTATAACCATGTTTCATAATTTTATATAATTACATATATTTACTACTAAACTTCTAATAAACTACTACTTTCTACTAAATAAAATTTATTCTTTTTTTTCTATGGCGAGTTGTTGTTTTATCTCAAATGTTATACGGCAAGTTGTTATATGGTGAAATGTTACTTAGGCTAGTTGTTATATGGTGAAATGTTACTTAGGCTAGTTGTTATATGGCGAAATGTTATATGGCGAGATGTTATTGAGCCTATTTTCTTTCTCACTTCACTGGAATCAAATTCATATAATCTTAAAATCATCAATAATACAGAAATAGAAAAAGAAAGAGTGGAATCGTTGCAGGTAAATTACAAGTTAAAGGAAGAGTTTGAGGAGATAGCAGTGGATAATAAACTTATGTGCAGCTTTATTTCTATCTGATTTCTCTGCTTAAAAAAATAAAATTAGATCATCAAAGACTCAAGGACTGGGCAAGAATGCAAGAGCTGACGGTTTGATTTATCAGCCTATTGCCATTAAGAAGGTTTTCAAAAATAAAAAAACTACTGAATAATTTTTTTCCAAATCTATTGATTTTTTTAACTACATAAATACAGATGTGTTGGTAAACAGATTAAATAACACAATGTTTCTGCTCCTGGAGAAATATTGTGATTAAATGATAAAATGTTTCTGCTCCTGGAGAAATATTGTGATTAAATGATAAAATGTTTTTGCTCCTGGAGAAATATTGTGATTAAATAATAAAATGTTTCTGCTCCTTGAGAAATATTGTGATTAAATAATAAAATGTTTCTTCTCCTGGAGAAATATTGTGATTAAATAATAAAATGTTTCGGCTCCTGGAGAAATATTGTGATTAAATGATAAAATGTTTCTGCTTCTGGAGAAATATTGTGATTAAATGATAAAATGTTTCGGCTCCTGGAGAAATATTGTGATTAAATAATAAAATGTTTCTGCTCCTGGAGAAATATTGTGATTAAATGATAAAATGTTTCGGCTCCTGGAGAAATATTGTGATTAAATAATAAAATGTTTCTGCTCCTGGAGAAATATTGTGATTAAATAATAAAATGTTTCGGCTCCTGGAGAAATATTGTGATTAAATGATAAAATGTTTCTGCTCCTGGAGAAATTTTGTGATTAAATGATAAAATGTTTCTGCTCCTGAAGAAATACTGTGATCAAATAATAAAATGTTTCGGCTCCTTGAGAAATATTGTGATTAAATGATAAAATGTTTCTGCTCCTGAAGAAATACTGTGATTAAATAATAAAATGTTTCGGCTCCTGAAGAAATATTGTGATTAAATAATAAAATGTTTCTGCTCCTGGAGAAATACTGTGATTAAATGATAAATCCATCTTCTTTTAAAAACTATATTCACTTCCACCTTTCCAAACTTATCCGTCTGAAATATATATATGTAGGGTTAAATAAACACTTTAAAACCATCATTAAATTGACTGTGACGTAATTTCTACGATCCCCTACAAACCTTTCACTAAATCTGAGGACAATTATTATTCTGAAGGCTGTCTTAATAACGATTTAAAAATCTAAAACCAAACCGCACTTAACAAAAACCCTGTTTAAAAAGAACATAATTTAAAAAAATGAATTTCCTGATTAGTTTTTGGATCCATTATTGTGTCTCCAACTACATATTCAACCATTAACCTGAAAATATAAAGAAAAGATCTCAATCAACTATTATCCATAAAATATTAATAATTGGCTTATTTTATATTTTACTTGTTTCCTGTATATTCTGCCCCATCACAATCCGCACAACCCTGGACAATACATACAAAAAATTCAAAATACGAAAATATAAAAATAAAGATAAATATTATGACAGTAAAATTATTGAAATTTGATTAAAATTTGAATGGTTCCAGTGCTGATAAGAGTTGTTTTTCAAATGTACAGAGATGGGTTGTATTGCAAGGAGAGTTAATTGCAGTTGTGTATACTCTGAGTACATATTGAAACCAGTTCTCTCTGGACGGAATTTGTAAACAAGAATAGATGCATCAGTGTTTGTTTAGTATCCAAGGAGGGTAAAAGCGTTTGATTTTGATAATTTTAATAATTCACATAATAGTTTTCTATGACCTGCAGAATATTTCATTGATTTTTTATGTGAAAACTGGATCCCAGGAAGCAACTGTTTTGAATTGTTGCCATGTAATTAATGGATATATTTTTGACAGTTCCGTAAGTCAAGATATATAACTAAAAGTCATAGTTAATCTTATACTTATTGGGACCCTCTGTACCTCTGGTATTTCTACTTCCAGCTTCAAGTATTTATTGGGCACCCCGTTCACCTCCATTATTATCTAGAAAAAGAAAAAACCTAAAAGTATCCATAACGTAAACTTGTAAATAGAATAATTGTAGCTGAAGAAAAAACCCCACTTTTTTCTGTTTTATGTCTCTCCGTAATTTAAACCAAATATTTTCGGATTTATGCAATCGTTAAATCTAGTATATATATATATAGGTTTAATTTGAACAAAATTGTCGATGGGTCAAAATATCGTCCCTTATTTTTGATAGGTCAAAATGTCGTCCGTTATTTTTGATAGGTCAAAATATCGTCAGTTATTTTCGATAGGTTAAAATATCGTCCGTTATTTTCGATAGGTTAAAATATCGTCCGTTATTTTCGATAGGTTAAAATATCGTCCGTTATTTTCGATAGGTCAAAATGTCGTCCGTTATTTTCGATAGGTTGAAATATCGTCTGTTATTTTCAAGAGGTCAAAAAATCGTCCGTTACTTTCGATAGGTCGAAATGTAGTTCGTTATTTTCGATAGGTCAATATATCGTCAGTTATTTTCGATAGGTCAAAATATCGTCCGTTATTTTCGATATGTCAAAATATCGTCCGTTTTTTTCGATAGGTTAAAATGTCGTCCGTTATTTTCGATAGGTCAAAAATATCGTCCGTTATTTTGTATAGTCAAAATATCATCAGTTATTTCCGATAGGTAATAATATCATTCGTCATTTTTGATAGGACCAAATATCGTCTGTCATTTTCAATAGGTTATAATATCGCCCGTTATTTGCCATAGGTCAAAATATCGTCCGTCATTTTCAAAAGGTCCAAATATCGTCGGTCATTTTCAATAGCTCCAAACATCGTCCTTTATTATTCAAAGGTGAAAATATTGTCTGTTATGTCGATAGATCAAAACATCGTCCGTTATTTCCGATAGGTCAAAATATCGTCGTCATTTTCAAAAGGTCACAATATCGTCCGTCATTTCGGAAGGTCAAAATTTCGTAATTTTGATAGGTCAAACACCAAAATAGCATATGCGGTAATTTTATCAATATTTTGATGACGACATTTCTTTTAAAGCTTTGATTGCTAACATTTAGATATGTATGTAAACAAAGAACTGTTAATTAATGTATTCTTTTTTCAAATAATATTGTTTTAGTACCTGACATATTTGTGTATCAAAAGGATACATATGAAGATCAAAATCACATGTGAAGCTGATCAAGTATTCTCTTTTCATAATTATAGGAGAATCAACCCCTAAATTATAGATTTATAATAAAAAGATTTTATGTATGATGTAGATATTCTATTCTATTAACTAAATTTTGTAATTACCTCTGTAAATTCTAGCTTCTACAGCTAGTTGAGTATTATCTGGAATTGGAACACCTTTCTGAAAATTGTTTTTTAAAAATTGAGTTTTTTTTAAGTAAGTGTCCTATTAATAACGAATATGTTTTTTTATTTATGCAGAATATGTGTTTTTTTTATAATGCAGAATATGTCTTTTTATGAATAATGTGTTTCATGAATTTTTCATTTTTTATCACATACCAATAATTAATTTTGTTTTTACGTATTGTTGCTATTTTTTTCTCGCATAACGAACCTTTACAAATTACCTCAATATATAATGTCTTGATTAATATTTCATATTATTATATTTGCGGCATGCTTCAAATACAAAACAATATATTTTACATAGTAAATCAAATTATATTTTTTTATTTAAAGGTCAAAACAAGCCGAACTATCTATGTGTCTGTTTATTTGTAAAGTCAAAACGAATAAACCGATAGGCCCGAATTTTTTTTGGCAACTCACATGACCTTAGGGAAGGTTTTATTGGCTGAAATTGAAGAACATTTTCCGGAAAATAATGTTGACATTTATCATTTTTAATAATGAACGAATTTATACAAAAAAATTCGCAAAAGTTATTTATATTTTTGGGAAAAGGATAAAAAAAATGCTGACGTGTAAGAGAAGCTGTTTTTTAAAATATTTTTATATGATGATATAATTTTTGATAAAAACTACAGTTTTTTTTACTTAATTTATCATTTTTTATTAAGCCAGTTTTTTAATTTAATCGTTGTTAATTTGTTAGTATTGTTAATCCTGAAAAAAATCCTAAATAAATAAAAAATAAAAAACCTTTAATATTTTTGTTGATGATAATGCGTCCACAGTGGTTCCTTCAGCTTGTCTTGCATTTGGAAAATTTAGCTAAAATAAAGAAATTTGAAATTATGGTATCTTTTGAATTACTCTGCAAATTCTATCTTTTTTGTTTAAACTTTGAAATCCCTGATTCAAATTTGATTAGGAAACTTGTATTCAATGTTGCTAATTGGGTTGGTTCGTTTTTCACATTTATTTTCTGTTAGAGGCAAAATTTGGCATAATTATAACAAGTGTTTTCAAATTTGTTTATTCTAAACATTTACTTTTCCTATAACACTATCTCAAGTTTTGACACTGAAAGAATATATATGTAAAAGAAAGAACCAAAAGCGAACAAGATTTAACAAGATTGTTTTTTTTTGGTTCGTTTTTTGTTATTTTTTAGGATAAAATTATCAAGAAAACAGTTTCCAGACAAAGTTCTAGAATAAATTAATGCAAATAAACATGAAACCTCAAATTTTTGTTTACAAAAAAACGTATTGTACTTCATCTTTATATAGTGTACTGCATGCGAATGCTGCCCAGGGCAGATTTAGTTTTCTAACCAGAAATCCCCTTGAATAATATTTGATAAAGACACCCTCAATTAGACATATTAACCTCTGTATCTTTGTAAATACTTAGATATCTTCTTAAAATAAGTTTATTAAGATATCTGTTCAAGGAGAATAGATTTATTCTCTTTGTATCTGTTACTGCTGGACAATTTGTTTCATGTTTAAAATTGAATTTCTCAAATGCACAAATTTTGTTAAAACTTAAAACATTCAATTTATTATAGAAATAAGGGATACCGAGGGCATATAGGCTGATGTATACCATGCACCTCTGAATCTTCAGTAAAAGTAAATTCAACCTAAAGTCTGACCGCGTCAACCTTGTTGCACCGGCTAGTCCTATTGAGTGTCTGCTTTATTTACCCAATGTCCGGGCGACTCAGTAAAAACTGGGACGGGAAAGGTTGACCCGGCTCGGAAATTCAAATGTACTACGGCTTCCCGTGATACAACTATACCTTTGGTACCCATATGGCCTGTTGTAATCTTAAGGATAAACTGTTCAAATCTGTAGAATCTACAAGGTTCAAAAACTCCAACCTGAACATAAACATAAACTGTTCAAATTTGGTTCAAAAATTCGAATCTTAACATTAACATGTACTGTTCAAATTTGGTTCAAAAACATATACTGTGCAAATCTGGTTCAAAAAACCCAATCTTAACTGTTCTAATCTGGTTCAAAAACTCCAATCTGAACATAGACATGAACTGTTTAAATCTGGTTCAAAAATTCCAATCTGAACATAGATAAGCTGTTCAAATCTGACTCAAAAACTTCAATCTTAGCATAAACATAAACTCTGTTCAAATATTGTTCAAAAACTCCAATCTTAATTTAGACACGAACTTTTCAAATTTGATTCAAAAAATCCAATCTGAACATAAACAAAAACTGTTTAAATATTGTTCAAAAACTCCAATCTAGATTTTTACATGAACTGTTTAAATTTGGTTCAAAAACTCAAATCTATAGACCTAGACATGAACTGTTCAAATCTGTATCAGGTTCAGAAACTCTAAACTGAACACAGTATAAACTGTTTAATTCTGTGGATAATCTTCAAGGTTTAAAGTTCCAATCTGAATATTACCACGATCTGTTTAAATATCTATAGAAACTTTAAACTACAAGGTTAAAAAAATTCCAAATTAAACATGAACGTGAACAGATTCGCCCCATATTCAAGATTCGAAATCCTTTCATGAAACTATAAGTTTTAAATCTCTACATCAATTATGTTCAAAAATACTCAAAACCTTTATTTCGATAACTTTGCAGCTTGTATGAATAGCTTGCATTTACCTGAAGATTGGACAATATCATATTGTTACCCCCCCCCCCCCACAATTGAGTATTTTAGGGGGTCACAATACTCATATTAAAATGCATTTGTCTTGTGTTTCATGGTGAGAATGGACAAAATGAATATATTCTTTTAATCTTTTCATTTACACACATTGTATGAATTGATTTATAATGATTTTAATTTATAATTACTTTTTACGTTGATATATTTATCCTTGAATGGATCCTGTAATCCCGCAATGTATTTAGATGTCGTCTTTGTTACAATAAGTATTTCGGAAGAAAAACATATATTGTATAGCAAAAGCACAAGAAAAGCACAATAATCTAAATTTAAATAGATTCCAACAGCCATATAGAAAAGAATTTAGGGTCTCCAGCAGCACTCCAAATCCTTAATTTAGTCCGAGTAGCGTGTTAAAAATCCTATTTTAAGAGTTTTCAATGAAATAGAGGGTTTTCGGTCGAAATTTTCAACTAAGACATAACATTTAAACAACTTAGAGCTTTCTCTCAAAAAAAATTCTTGAGCAGCCAAGCTTTATTTGACATAAATAAGAGGTTTAGGGAATAAATTCATTTTGGCTGACCCCGCCCTCCCCTATTCTAAAGTGTACCTAGGATCTGACCAAGTCATAAGAAGGACAAAGTCAGCCATATATGAGAGCTGTAAGGTGCTGATGTCAGGGAACGACAGGATGGTCACGTTCATCTTCACAACTTAATTAATAAATTCTCAAAATCAAAAATTGAAAACCCAACCTGACTTTTTAGAAGGAACTGACTTTTACACATCGCCAAGCCTTTGCCATGGAGTTGAGCTTGCGGTATCAATTATCCTCTTTTATGTAGCTTTGAAATAAAATTTATTAAAAGCCTGGCATTTCTTTCTAGTTTCAGTTTTAGGTATCAATACCTTAGGCGGTTTCAGGCGGGGGGTGGGGGGTGTTAGTCCATTACCACCCCCTGGGGGAAACTACCCCCGTGCTGTTCCAGGTCATTATGCCAAAGGCTTTTGACCTGGAACAGGTCATCTATTATCACCGACAACGGTGTTTTTAATGTCATTAATTCAAGCGGCCTAAGAAAACTAAACTATCGTAGATTGGAAGAAGAGAGGATATTTTTTTTTTTTTTCTATTTTGAACAAAAATTTATTATTTACTTTCAACCTTCTTATGGTAAACCATTATTTTTAACATAGAAACTACTTTGTGTCATCTGCAAGAAAAATTAGCATGATAATTAAGAAGCATTATTTACTAAAAGATCAATATTAATAGAAATGATAAAAATTCAATAATAATATATAATAAAAATATAAAGGATATAATAAATAATTCTCCCTTCATTAGAATTATATAATATGATATGTATAATGATAAGGTATAAACTTCAATCCATGATTTTTTTTTATATCGTTATCAGCTAAATAAATGGATTATTAAGATACTTAAAGGTAAATAAAACTGTAACTTTAGTATGGGGTTAGGTTATTGCGGTGGTAAATAGATATGTAACTTTAGTATGGGGTTAGGGCGGTAAATAGAACTTTTTTGGTAATTTTTGTAGGGTTAGGGCGGTAAATAGAACTTTTTAGCAATAGAGGGGGGGAAGGTTACCCCTATCTTAAATCCTGAAGCCGCCCTTTATCAATACAAAATAAGATAATAAAGTGGATTTTTATGTTTTTTTGTCATTCCAAATATTTGTCTGACATTGTTTTAAAATATACCAAAATATATATACAAATAGATAATTTAACAACATTAAAGTTTATAAGCATTTAACTCTTTTTATTTTGTTCATTTTTTTGAATTTCTGAATGTTTTATCAAAATTGTTATTTATTTTCTACCAAAAAATTTTACAATTATAAAAATTAGTTTTATTTAACATTTAACAATGCAGGCTGCAGGACTAGTTGTTTTCACTAATTTGCCGGTTCCCCTGGACTTCAGAGCTTACCTAGAGGAGACCCGTCCTCTGTGAGAGGAAAAAGTTCACTTCTATAATCTTGAGGGATCTCAAGAATATCACAATCCTTCTCATCTGAACCATCTGGACAGTCAGCTACTAGGTTGCACCTGTATTTAATGGGAAGTATTCATATGGAAGTACAAACCCATTGTACCGGTCAAATGTACTGTGCCAAACACGCCTACCAAGCAAAGTACTGGTCCTACTCACCCGTACTAATCATTTGTAGCACACTAGTACCTGCCTAACTTACCAAACACGGCTACCAAACAAAGTACTGGTCCTACTAACTGTACTAAAAAGTGTAGCACACTAGTATCTGCCTAACTTACCAAACACGCCTACCAAGCAAAGTACTGGTCCTACTAACTGTACTAAACATGTGTAGCACACTAGTACCTGCCTAACTTACCAAATACGCCTAGCAAGCAAAGTACTGGTCCTACTAACTGTACTAAACATGTGTATTGTGTAGCACACAAGTAACTGCCTAACGTCACGCCTAGCTAACAAATACTGGTCCGATGAGCATTACCATACATGCCTAGCAAGCATGTAGTGCCACTAGTGGTCTAATGTACCGTAGTAAACATGTGTAGCACACAAGTAACTCCCTAACTTAGAGTACAAACCACGCCGAGCAAGCAAAGTACTGGTCCTACTCACCATAATAAGCATTTGTTGTACACAAGTACATGCCCGATTTAGCGTACCACACACGCCTAGCATGCAAGTAGTGGTTGTACCATATTATACATGTGTAGCACACAAGTACCCGAAGTAGCATACCATATACAAATATAGCAAGCAAGTACTTATCCGACATACTTACCGACATACTTACAGACATACTTACCGACATACATGCAAAGCACAAAATTACAGCTGTCCGATATACTGTACCAGACAAATTTAGCACACAAGTACATATTTTAAAAGCCCTAAATTCTTAGAGGTATTTTAGTTTTGTATCCTGTACCCGATATTAAAGAGTTGGATGGGCACAACTAAAGATAATATTACTATTGTATATTTTATTGTAAATGATAAATATAAAAAGTATATGGACCCCAAGAGATTGTATGCAGGTTTGCTGTATGTTCTCCAATACTGTGTAGATAATGGAATATTTTACTACTAGTTTTTTACATTTGAATAATTTGCCGAGATTTTATGGTTTACAAGCTGTTTAATGTTTACCTTTTATCCATGTTGACACATGTACCATCAGTACATGTGAAATCATACCCACTTCCGTCATTGTACATACAATTTGTCAGTGTCATCTGAACAATAAAAAGTGCAGATTATGACAGGTCCATTTTCAGATTTTCAAATTGACTAAAAGTGTTTTTTTATTCTTGTTTAAAATCTTTAATTTTTCAGACAAATTAATTTTGATTTCATTTTTTCGGTTATAAAGGAAAACGGTAGAAGTTGCATCAAATACATTAAATACATTAAATACATTAAATACATTAAATACATTAAATACATTAAATACATTAAATACATTAAATACATTAAATACATTAAATACATTAAATACATTAAATACATTAAATACATTAAATACATTAAATACATTAAATACATCAAATACATTAAATACATTAAATACATTAAATACACCCGCATTTCATTTTCTGCATTTGAATTTCCTATATAACTGAATGTTTTGTAAGCTTTAAACGAAAAATTATCATTAGTTTGAACTTGAAGGTACACAAGTAACGGATAGTTGTGTTGAATTAACACTGTGCGCAGCGTACACTGGGTTTTACAGGGATCAAGGGGTTTTCGATAGATTTAAACACAGGGATCTCTGCACTCGATGAACAGACAAAGGTTTAAAGGGTAAAAATAATAATTATAATTATTCTCTATCTAGGTTTATAATTATTTGTGGTTAGAAAAGTTTACCTTATATTCAGTTCCTTTTTTCATAGCACAGATACCCTCATTTATAACCCAGTCAGATCTACCTAAAAGAGAATATTGTGGAAGACGATGCCTGGCCGCGTTAAACTAGTTCCACAAGATTCAACAGAATGAGATAGAACGGATACGGGGCATTAGTACTGATATCATCTCTACAGTCTACACGTGCGATATCGATATTGACTCTAGTTCTGAACCCTCTAGTAATAAGTTATAAGAAATATATATACTGGAAGTTATTTATGCGTTTTATTAGAGTCTGACTCACGTCCTCTATAATATATCTATTTCTACTTTTCATCTTATGGAATTTTTCAAACTTTCTTCAACTTCATATTCAACAGCTGCAAAGACACATATTGAATAAATTGTACTATTTTATATTAAACTATTATTCTTTTATCAAGGGCATGGATTTTGACTTTTGAGCAATTTGCACATTGTCATGCATATTTAATATCTTTGGACCAATAGTTAGGATGGGTAGCGATTATTTAGAAGTCATTTTTAATCTTTATTTGTTTTTAAACGAGATCAATGTTGAGATATTTTTTTTTTAAACGAAGTCGACAAGATTGATTAAAATATGAGATATACAGGTCGTATTAAGAAGGTCGTCATCGATCTTTGAAACCTTAATTCACTAACCTAATTTTAGAATTTAATAATCACAAAATATCCCTAATCTTGGCATTTCCAAAATGTGGTCTGCCTAGTTTTTGTGCGTTCAATATTATAACCGGAGGTATGAAGAACTTCGTTCAGAATTCGTCAATTTTGGTTTTATTTAATAAAATTGAAATATGAACGAAATATCTCCGGTAATATTAACAGCACAAAAAAAGGCAGACCACATTTTGGAAATAGGACTAGGAGAATTTAATGGATATTGTTTGAAGAATCATTCAAGTGGAAGTTATAGGTAGACGACTGGTTGTCACAAATAAATTAAAAGTTCAAAGACGAAGTATAGGTACCAGGTGGATGAAATACCTGTAGAGAAGTATTGGTATCAGGTGGATAAACTACCTGTAGTGAAGTGTTGGTACCAGGTGGATGAACTACCTGTAGGGAAGTTTAGGTACCAGCTGTGGATGAACTACCTGTAGGGAAGTATTGGTACCAGGTGGATGAACTACCTGTAGGGAAGTATTGGTACCAGGTGGATGAACTTCCTGTAGGGAAGTATTGGTACCAGGTGGATGAACTACCTGTAGGGAAGTATAGGTACCAGGTGGATGAACTACCTGTAGGGAATTATTGGTACCAAGTGGATGAACTACCTGTAGGGAAGTATAGTTACCAGGTGGGTGAACTACCTGTAGGGAAGTATTGGTACGGGTCCTCATCTGAAGCAGCAAACTCTGCATACTTTTCAGTATCATAGTAACTCTCTATTCGCCAGCTGTAGGTTCGGGGTCTAGAAAATAAATTTAAGATTTTTGCACCTATTCATCACAGTTTATTATAATTAAATTTTAGTTTCGCGCCACCTTGCCTGGTAACAATTTTATCATTTAATTTTTGATTTGTGCGGGTTTTTTAGTATGAATTGGCGGGAATAGATGTAAATAATTTTTCACGGTGAATTTTTAATTCTGATCGTAAGTCCATTAACCTTCGCTGGGGTCATGTATTCAATATGTTTCAAGATTCAAGTCGCCCTCAATTGAAACCGGTTTTTGGCGGATTTGAGACGCGGCTCAAATTTTTGCAGCGAATAGATGATCAAATATAAAATATACCCACGTGATTGTACCCCTTAAAACTAATAGATAAATATGTTTAATAGAAGGCATTTTTGAACTGAATTTTAAACCAGGTACCGAGATATTTTGAAATATGTTGGACGTTGGCATCTATATATATATGTATATAAAGTAGTAATCTCTGTTTGTTAGGATGTTCGAGTATAAATAATGATCGCTGGACATGATTTGTCTCAAATTGGATTTGTTAACTCGGTTGAACCACGAGAATATTCTTCTAAGTTGAGTGGTTTGATAAAACTCCAGGCAAAGCTGGGTTTCCAAGTAAATTACTTACATGAAGTATATATGAGATTTCCCGAATCCTCTCCAGTGGGGTTTATTGTTGAGGAATCCTTGAAGGAAGTAATACTGATCAAAGTATCCTTCCATCAACTACCAATATTTGGATTTTACAAAGCTCCCACTTACGTTTATTAATTTTAGATAAAGGTAAGCGTGCAGTGAGATCCATAGTATCAAGGAATAGGAAGACGACCCACATACATCTTAAGATTCAAACTAAACTATTTGATTTGACACAATTGACATTTATCATAAAATTCAAAATTTCCTTTGTTTCTGAGATACACAGTCCCCGCATAGATAGATTCATGCGCACAGGAAAGTGGCATAGTGCGCAGTTCAGTTGATCACATGGCTCATCATTCCATTTCCGGTCTAAAATATCATTCCATTTCCGGTCTAAAATATCATTCCATTTCCGGGGTAAACTATATCATTCCATTTCCTGTCAAAAATATGATTTCATTTACAATATAAAATATATTATATATTAATTATTTTTCTTGGAATTATACACAACAACAAAAATGAATCATAAAAACGACATTTTATTCATTTGCTTTAATCAAGATTTTTATGTTTAATAAGACATCTTGCAGTTGACTCAAATTAATTACATTAGAATGGGGTAATTCATTTGGTGTACCGTTCCGTTTTCTCATTTACAGTCTGTCTGTATACTGTACTGCGTACTCTAGCTGCCTAAAGGTCGGTCGGGTACTTTAAATGAACCGGATTTTACTGTAGACTGACTAGAGATCTATTAAAGGCTAGAAAATGCGATATTTTTACAGAGCCTGAAATTTAAAAGAGTATCGTTGGACAAAACTCCCGAGTTTCCTTTTTGGGGTCTTAACATTTGTGTAGATTTTGATTTAAGAGATTGGAAAAAAATTGAGAATATAAACAAACCGAATAAAATAATATTTCATAACAAAATATTGATATTCACAAAACTGCCTAATCCCATTCGTGAAACCCGGGGTTTAAAGCTGGTTTTCAGAACGATACCCTGTCTTAAGTTTTGGGCTCAGGAGGTTCTAAAGTGTACAGTTGGAGTAGAATGTTATAAACAAACGTCTGTATTCAGGGATATTTAAGAACCCTTTGGATACGAAATACAAAACCTTCAAAAAAAGACTAAATCAGAGGCGGATACAGGGGGGTGGCGGGGGGACATTCGCCACCCCCTGACAGATTCAGGGAGGGGCGTATCCCCTCCCTGAGATTTCGAGGCAAAAAATGTTCCCAATTTTATAAATCGTATGTGTTTTTCAATTTCAAGCTTTTTTTATTTAATGGAAATCTTGACTTTCTTTTTTTCAGTTTAATTTAAAAATCAACGACAACAAGTAAATGTTATTGTTAACGATAAATTTAGAATTAGAAATTTGTAAGAAACTAGACTTAAGTTATAATATTGTTCATATCTAGTAATGTTCCTTAATCAAAACTCATTTATCAAAATTGTAATATTGGTCCTAATTTTGATGCATTTAAGTATAACTAGTAATTTCTTTTTGTTTTTAAATTGCTAATGTTCCTATTGTTGTTCCTGTTCCTAATACTGTGTCCGACCCAACTTAAATCCCTGTCCTAATCCAATATTTTTGTTCCTAATTCCTGAACAATCTTTTTATTGTTCCTAAATCCCTGTCCTAATCCATTATTTTTGTTTCTAATTCCTGAAGAATCTTTTAATTGTTCCTAAATTCCTGTCCTAATCATTTATTTTTGTTCCTAATTCCTGAACAATTTTTTAATTGTTCCTAAATTCCTGTTCTAATCCGTTAATTTTGTTCCTTAAAGTTAAAAATCTAGTTTTTTAGTCTTTAATCATTAATTTTGACTCTTTTTGAGTCTTTTAAGTCAAAAAAAGATTTCGCCTGCGCCACGAATTTTTGTTCCAAATTATTAATTTTTAGTTCCTAAAAAATCTTGCCCCCCCCCCCTCACTTAAATCCTGTATCCGCCCCTGGACTAAATTCATAAATTTTTTAAAACTTGTAAAAATTAACCCCTGAATTCGTATTATATGCAACAAGTGGCCGTAGATGGCAGTCATAATCATTTCTGGGAAATGTAGCATGGCTTACCGGGACAACATAGGTCTGCTTAGCAACTATTCCGTGAGAGATTATGAGCAGTCTGTGTATATCTGTGAGACTGACCTACGTATGTTCGAACACAGTTCTCTCCTTCACCTCCGTTAGGCTGACCCACCTCCCAGAAGGATGCATCAACTTTCTTCCTGATCATTTTTTTATTAATTTTTCAAATCATGATGTTTAATTTGCTGATCAAATCATGGCCATTTTTTTATTCTGAAGAATAATTAAGAATATTAATTTGTTATTGTTCATTGAAGTAAGACGAGCATCATTTGGTTTAGTAAGATTTTTTTTATAAACAATGTTGTGAAGTATAAAAACTTAAATTTTCTGAAAATAACCCTGTATTTCAGAATAGGAAAGTTTTTCAATGTTCAAACAAATTTTTTAATAAATAAAGTCTTTTGATTCTGGATTTTTTGGTAGACAAGATTCAAAAAAAGTTTTTTTTTGAGAGAGGATGAGAGAGGTGGAGAGAGGGTGAGAGAGGGTGAGAGAGGGTGAGGGGAAAGTCAAATATTTGAATCATACTTTGTATATGGGTTTGTCCACATATCTTCCTCCATATAATCCGTAGGACCTGCCCATATTATTAAACTGCCTGTAAAAAAATATATTAGATTTTTGACTTGTACAAAAATATATGATCGTTGCATGTTGTTATATGACCAAAAAACTAGTTCGGCATCATTTACAGGAATGTTCGCATTGGAGGTGTAACAGTCTTTGTACAGTTTTGATAGGTCTTATGTAAGGATATAATTTCTTCTGGCATGCTTACCGCTGGCATGTAAACATTTCTCATGGATATCAGGTTTCATTATTTCAGAGGCAATATCCATCATCTAAAAATAGTTTTAAATATGTTTTTTTCTTATAATTTAGGTGAATAAGTTTTTTAACAATTTTTTACCTCATGATATTTTTCTGTTGTATTCGGAACTGCAAGAAATCCACCTTGGTTATAGCACCAGTCCTAAATAAAATCATTTTAAACGGACTTAAAGCTTCGGTGACAAATATTTGATAATTTTACCTTGTAAAACCAGTAATCATAAAGAAGAGGGAAAAGAAAATATTGATCATTAATATTTTCAGGTTTACCACATAGTTCAAACAGAGGAACAGAGCTTACTTCAATCTGATAATATTCCAGTTAATCAATCAATCGATGTAAGGCCGGAGCTTATAAAAATGGGCAATGCCCGATTCACAATGGTACCCTGAAAACTTTCTCTAATCAATAATATGGAAGATATCGTTGTTTCTTTAGCATAGCATAGCAATGCACGAGTCACTTGTACAGAGAAAACTAAATTTTAAATAATCAAGAAAAACCAGGAAATGATTCTTGACCAAGCGAAACTTTTAAAGATAATGTTAGGAATCCGACACACTTCTCTTCAAATAGAGAATTATGAAGATAATTTTTCGATCCCTTAATATAATCAATCAACCAATCGATTAATCAATTATACAATGTCCATTAAATTTTATTTTCTTACATTACTTGTGATCCATACTTCTCTATTCCACTCTTGTACATTTCCAAGTAAATCAGATCTGAAATACAGGGTGTCTCAAATATAAGGTAAATCAGATCTGAAATACAGGGTGTCTCAAATATAAGGTAAATCAGATCTGAAATACAGGGTGTCTCAAAGGTTCATGCCCCCAAATCCCAACGGTACCCTTTCAACCTTATTCTGATCAATAATGAGGAGTTAATTTCTACATTGATTCTAAAGAAAGAGATGCGTTTGTCATTTTTGAAAAGAAGAGAAATCACAAATGAAAATGAACAGGTTTGTAAACAAAGAAAATGAATATATCATTCATTTTTGATCAGGCAAAGCTTTGGAAGTCACCATTCGGGAATTGTTTACTTAAAATTTCTACTTAAACTATTCTGCTATTTCCGTTATTTTTGTAAAATAAAAAGAATGCAACATAACCAAGTTTTAGAAAGAAATAATGTTGTCAGCTAACTATATTCTATCCAAGAAATGAGTCTCTTAATTTCAAATTCAATGTTTGTTTATCTTTCTTTACATATATATATACTTTGCTCAGCTTTTTTTTTAAATGCACCAATTGTAACAGAAAAACCAACAAAGCATTGAATGAAATTTACAAAGAAAAAGTGGCAACTTGAAACATTCAAACGCCAATTTGTTAATAGAAAAGGGAAGGCGAAGCGCCCTATAAAGTCTAGTATTCAATACTTCTTTAAAATAATGTTTTAAAAGTAATGTTACTTAAAATAATATATTTTAAAACCTGCATTCGGCAGCATTTTCTACAAAATAATCCTCCAGTGCTACATCCCAGATGTTAAACTGAATATTTAGAATATCTAGAAGTATTTCCAATGAAATATCTAATCAGTATATATAAATGCAGCAATTAAGTAATACAGCTTCCATGCATAAATTGGGCTTTTCTATTTGTTTGTTGGTTTGTTAGAATCCAATAAACGTAAAACACCAGAAACCGAAATCAAATCAGAAAAGATTGGTCAAAATTAAAAAAACATTTATCATAACATTTGGCGTGCTACTACTGAACAGGAAAAAGAGTTCTGAACGATTAACTTTATTAAAAATCTAAATCTATATAGTAAATGATGAAAGAAATATCTGGAATAAATATCACAAGTTAGAATCAGCTGATCGAATCCGCCCCCTTGGATTTCTCTGGAAACAACTCAGATGACGACATTCATATCCGCCACAGTTGAAAAATGAAGATGTTTTTGGAAATCTATCAATGATAACAGAAAATTTCAAGTCCCACAATTAAATACGGGAGGGGGCACATAAATGTCACTAGAAGGAGATCATTTACTTGGCGTACAGTCCTGTTTTGCATCATATTGTCTGTATTTGTTCTGCACTGCTTGCCCGTGATAATTGAAATTCTGCCTGGTAAAAGAAATGAACTGAAATATATCGGAGGGGGGGGGGGGGTATGATTTTATAGAACCTGTGTTATAGCTCCTGACCAGGATTGTCTGGGTTGAAAACCTCCTCCCAATGTATCCTAATCCGACGTAGCTCAGAAAAGAAATAAAAAATTCATCCACAACAAAACTTTTAATTTGAAACGATTTTTCCATCCATGAAAAACAACTCGTACATCTCTCTTTTTTGTGGTTTCTGACTGATTAGGTCTTCAACTATAGAGATATTCAACAGGAATCAACTTAATCCGGCAAACTACATAATATAGGGATTAGTACGCTATGAAGGGATAAACAATACAAAAGTTCCAATCTCTGTGGGTGGTTAAAGTTATGTTTAAAAAATCCCACCTGCATTTCTATCTATCTATATATTTAAAGTTGTAATCTCTTTTTGTCTGTTTTTTATATGTCCGATCATAACTCAGGAACCCCTTGACCGATTAGCCTCAAATTTTGAAGGGGGATATCCGTAGAATCACAGGATGGTTTTAAACCTGGTTTAAACATTTTTATTTTAAGTTTTTTTTATGGAGAAATTTCAGTTTGCAAGCAAGTATCGAATAAAGAAGAAAAGCTGTTAAAAATAATTTTACAATTATTTTGATAATCTGAGATCTCTTTTCCTGATCTTGTCCAAGAAACAGCTTGCCCCCTTTCCTGGGAAAACGTGAAATCAAACATTTATATTTATAAAATTTTTTGCTGCCCTTTACATCTTTTTAATAATTGTTCTTCTCTTTTCAAAAATATTCATAAAAGAATGAATGAGATTTAAGAAAAACTGTAAGCCAATTATTTTTACTGTTGAGGTCAAAACAGTTTATAATTTTGAAAACATTTACTACAGATTTACACTCAAAATTGTTGCAGATTTTTTGTTATATCTCATGCAATTTTTAATAAATTTTTATGAAATTTTAAAGAACAATAGAATAAGCGTTTACCCAACAATCTTTTTAAAAAATTTAACTTTAAAAAAATTGCTTTCGCTGATTTTCTTGTTCAAGGTTCCAAAAATATGTTTTTTAACTTTTTAATTCCTTTTTTATCCCTAAAATCAAAACAAACCAAACATTTTGAAAATGTTGTCCAATACATCGATAATCCCGTTTTTTTTTATACTCACCCTTTAAATGGGAGAACAGATTTAACTTTAATAATATAATCCATTTTGAGAACTTTTGAAACAAAGGATGAGACTTAAAACACGATTGTATGGAATTTATTGAGTTCGTTTGCCAGGGTTCCTTGTAGACCAAAACTGGCTTATTTCTGTGTTTAAGCAATTAGTAAACCTTTAAAATACTCCCTTAAGAGCAGAAACCGAAAATCAAGCTATTTTCAGAGTTTAGGGTTGTCTTTACAATCTCATTCTTTGCGGGTAACCCTGTATCCAGCCTGCCTCCATTTTAATCTTGGGAGGTCGTCTTCTGCCAAGAGTTGGACGATTTGTGTAATACTGGACACATACAAGCATTTTAGTATGCACCTGACAGGTTCTACAGATTTGTCTCCGGTCCATGAACCACTAGTAATCTTGATACCATCTACAAACCTGACAGGTTCTAGAGATTTGTCTCCGGTCTATGAACCACTAGTAATCTTGATACCATCTACAAACCTGACAGGTTCTAGAGATTTGTCTCCGGTCCATGAACCACCATTAATCTTGATACCATTTACAAACCTGACAGGTTCTAGAGATTTGTCTCCGGTCCATGAACCACTGGTAATCTTGATACCATCTACAAACCTGACAGATTCTAGAGATTTGTCTCCGGTCCATGAACCACTATTAATCTTGATACCTGTACAAACCTGACAGGTTCTAGAGATTTGTCTCTGGTCCATGAACCACTAGTAATCTTGATACCATCTACAAACCTGACAGGTTCTAGAGATTTATCTCCGGTCCATGAACCACTAGTAATCTTGATACCATCTACAAACCTGACAGGTTCTAGAGATTTGTCTCCGGTCCATGAACCACTAGTAATCTTGATACCATCTACAAACCTGACAGGTTCTAGAGATTTGTCTCCGGTCCATGAACCACTAGTAATCTTGATACCATCTACAAACCTGACAGGTTCTAGAGATTTGTCTCCGGTCCATGAACCACTAGTAATCTTGATACCATCTACAAACCTGACAGGTTCTAGAGATTTGTCTCCGGTCCATGAACCACTATTAATCTTGATACCATCTACAAACCTGACAGGTTCTAGAGATTTATCTCCGGTCCATGAACCACAAGTAATCTTGATACCATCTACAAACCTGACAGGTTCTAGAGATTTATCTCCGGTCCATGAACCACTAGTAATCTTGATACCATCTACAAACAGCTTATAGAGATCCTTGTATCCATCATACGCCAAACAAATATGCCTAGATATATATCAAGCTATAGTACAAAGATCAAGTTTTAGTACACAGATCAAGCAATAGTACAAATATCAAGCTATAGTACAAAGATCAAGCTATAGTACGAAGATCAAGCTATAGTACAAAGATCAAGCTTTAGTACAAAGATCAAGTTATAGTACAAAGGTCAAGCTATAGTACAAAGATCAAGCTATAGTACAAAGATCAAGTTTTAGTACACAGATCAAGCTATAGTACAAAGATCAAGCTATAGTACAAAGATTAAGCTATAGTACAAAGATCAAGCTATAGTACAAAGATCAAGCTATAGTACAAAAATCAAGCTATAGTACAAAAATCAAGTTGTAGTCCACAGGTCAAGCTATAGTACAGAAATCAAGTGGTACTACAAAGATCAAGCTAGCTAGTACAAATATCTATAAAGTTTTAGTAAATATACTTTAAAATATCTTAACTCATCAAAGCTTCTTTTGAGTTGTTGTAATTGATTTTGTATCTTACATATCGTCTATTACATTTACCTTCATTACATTAAATCCTTTATATTAACTCCATTAATTTACTTGATTAAATTTACTCCATTACATTTACTACATTACCTTTACTCCATTACATTTTTTTACCATTAAATTTCCTCCTTTGCATTATGTCTGTTACATTTACCTCCATTAAATTCACTCCATTACATCAAATCCATTAAATTTACCTCCATTAAATTTATATCCATTAAATTTACTTTATTTCATTTACTCCATTACATTTACTCCATTACATTTACTCCATTATATTTACTGCATTACATTTACTTCATTACATTTACTCCATTATATTTACTGCATTACATTTACTTCATTACATTTACTCCTTTCCATTTACTCCATTACATTTACTCCATTAAATTTACGTCATTATTACTCCATTATATTTACTGCATTACATTTACTTCATTACATTTACTCCATTATATTTACTGCATTACATTTACTTCATTACATTTACTCCATTACATTTACTCCTTTCCATTTACTCCATTACATTTACTCCATTAAATTTACGTCATTACATTTTCTCCATTATATTTACTCCACTACATTTACTTCATTACATTTACTCCATTATATTTACTGCATTACATTTACTTCATTACATTTACTCCATTATATTTATTCCATTATATTTACTCCATTATATTTACTCCATTAAATTTCCTCTATTACATTTCCTTTATTAAATTTACCTCCACTGATAGAAGTCTGGCATATCATTATGCCAAGCACAATATTTGGTATTCCGTTTACAACCACGGAAAGCTGATCGTCCAAGATGATATTCTCAAAAAATGATTCATTAATATTTATAGAAACTTATAATACTTCGATACTTTTGAAAAATATTGATTACTAGCTGAAGCGCCCAGCGTTGCCCGTGAAATAAAAATAGATTTATGAAAAAAAAAATTTTGAATTTTTTTGTTACCCCCCGGGTACTCAAGGGATTCCTTTAAAATTTCCGCCCATTCGGTCCAGCCGTTTGGACAGCTATAGCCGCTGACATATAAATATAAATACAAATATTTTGTATTGAATGACAATATTCCATACATCTATATATATATGCTTTAATTAAGACAAGTATCATTATTTAAAAGTACTGAAGAGTTTAGGCGTAATATAAAGTGGACCTAGTAGTATGTCCGATGCACAACGTTGACACTTTAACATTTCTGTAATCTGGAAAGTGTCAAATTATAACAGTTTCAATCTTTGACACCGCTGCTGCTTAAACCCGCTAGAAAACCTTCATTAATCAAACAAAGCTCTGATAAGGTTACCGTTGTTAATCGGATTTGCTACTTTGTAACAGAAGAGTCACTTGAAATTATGTCTACTGTCCCTTTAAAAGTACTAAAACCCAAATAATTTATCAAGTACAATAGGTGGCTGCGTGGCAACGGAGAAATGGACCAATTATACACGACGTCACTAGTGTCATATATAACTGTAAGCATGAAGAGAGGCTTACTTGTAAATGAACTATAGTTAATGATAGCAGTGGGAGGGATAACAAGTCATCTCTTCTTTCTCGTTTAAAAAGATTCAACCGTTAAAAATTGCAAACCTGGAGAATGCTTTGAACGCATGTTTGGGCCTTGGAGAACCCAAGTCACCGTTGGACAGGGAATTATATTTTCTAAGTGTGAATTCAAGCCAATAGGCATAAGCCACGGCTTGACATGAGGCAGAAGGAAATATTATTGGCCTGGGCTAAAACCGAAAATAAAGTTAGTGTTCATGAAGAATCCGAAGAAGGAACTTTAAGTCGTCGTATGAGGTGAAAAGGCGGAGAGTCTGTCAGAGAGCTCCGGCTTTCCATTATTCTTTAGTATTATTTTTTACTTCTAAATACATTTTTTCCTATACTCTGTGGATTTAGTCTCATCAGTTTTAAGGCTTTAGATTTCCTTTATTTCATACCATCTTTATATGGTAACAATAACAACGAAAACGAATGTTTCTCATACTAGTTGACATGTTTTCCAAGATTAAATAAAAAAGTGTTTAAACAGAAAATAAAGAACACATAAAATTGCACTTATTTTACTGTAGGATAAGCACTTTATTTTAAAATTATCCCTTTAATTGATAATTTTGTCGGACACTAAATCTGAATTGACACTTGTGACGTCAAAATACAACTATTGTACATATACACATTGTACATGTAACATATACACATAGTACATATTCACATTGTACATATACAAATAGTAAATATACACATTGTACATATACATTGTACTAGAGTCTATTTTTTGAAACCTGAATAAAGTTCGTTAGCATCTTTATTCCCAAAAGCGTAGGTGAACAAATACATCCGGGGTCGGGTAAACAGAATTTGGAATCTAAAATATATTTTTCTATTTTGTAAATTAATCTTTCACAGGATTTTTTATGTCCCCTAGAGTCACTAAAGGCTGTCTGTCTTCTCATCATGGGCGTTTTCAGGAATTTGTCAAGGGGGGGCATACTTTTTTCTCTCCAGGGGGGGGGGCTCAGCACCCGTTGGGACCTGATAACCCTCTAAAGACCATATATTTCACTGGTCCAGGGGGCAGGCTGAGCCCCAATATCCCAGCCCCCGAATCCGCCTCCGCTTTTAATTAATCTTTTTTATTGTTGTTCTTTTTCAATTTTAATTTCCGGAGATAGTAACTTTTAAGATGACGGAACTAGTTTGCTGCATTAAATTCTTAAGATTCCAGCCTGAGTAATTAGTATTTCCACGAAATAATTTTTTTTTTAAATAATTGACATTTCAATAAACTTTCAATCAGTTTGGTAAAAAAAGAATAAAATATTACGCGAAATGACATTTGCGAATGATTTCAAAAATTGCTGTTTTTTTCCGCGTAAAAGTTTTACGCAACAAAAGAAAAAGTTTTGTAAAGAAATAACAATTGAAAATAATCATTTTTCCAAATATATAAACATGGTTACCTAATTCATATTTGATTAGACAAAACTTTCAAGGGTACCGTTGTGAATCGGGTAATGCTCAGTTGGAATAGTTTAAACCTGTGACAGAACGTGAAGGAGATAAGATCAGTTGGAATAGTTTAAACCTGTGACAGAACGTGAAGGAGATGAGATCAGCTGGAATAGTTCCATTAAAGAATGCCCAGGACGTATCTGAGGTATATCCATCTACCTGACAAATAAAACCACATTTTAAACTGTTTCGCAATATTTTTGTCTTTCAATTAAAAACCTTCAAAAACAGCATAGGAAACCTATTATGAAATATTCAAAATACATAGCCAAATACAAAGATATCAAATATCAAAAGCGAACAATTTAGATTAGAGTAGTGAAAATAGGCTTTAAAGGTCAGATTCTTTGAACTTAGTCATGAAAGACCCATTTTAAACTGGCTGAATTTCTTATTAAATAACGCTGATTTGTTGTTTGCTTTTTTCTGCTGATTTTGGACACAAAATAGATAATACAGTGGTAGGGGTTTATATCAATACAATGAAGACGACCTTTCAATTTAGTTTTCATTGCTAACAAGCTTTTTTTCAAAATACAAGTTTACAGTATGTATATTGTGTATCCATGCTGTTTGAAAGCATGGTAGAAATCAATAATAAAATAATAAAAAAAATCATATACTAGGACGGACCAAAACGACATAAAAACATTATAAAAATTTATAAAAACATGAGCGCTATACAAGATTTCTCATTACAAACTAAAACGTATGTACCAGTGTGACTTTGAATGTACCAGATGAATACATAGAATTTGCAACCTGCTGGATCTCACTTCACTCCTGCTTCTTTCTAGTTATACCCTTCATATTTGCACCCTGCTGGATCTCACTTTACTCCTGCTTCTTTCTAGTTATACCCTTCATATTTGAACCCTGCTGGATCTCACTTCACTCCTGCTTCTTTCTAGTTATACTCTTCATATTTGCACCCTGCTGGATCTCACTTCACTCCTGCTTCTTTCTAGTTATACCCTTCATATTTGCACCCTGCTGGATCTCACTTCACTCCTGCTTCTTTTTAGTTATACCCTTCATATTTGCACCCTGCTGGATCTCACTTCACTCCTGCTTCTTTCTAGTTATACCCTTCATATTTGCACCCTGCTGGATCTCACTTTACTCCTGCTTCTTTCTAGTTATACCCTTCATATTTGCACCCTGCTGGATCTCACTTTACTCCTGCCTCTTTCTAGTTATACCCTTCATATTTGGACACATTCACGGTTTTTAAAGAAATACCTTTGCCTTGCCGTTTATGCCAAATATTTGGATATTTTGCTGGATTTAGTAAATACTTTTTACCCTACCCTTCAAGCCATTTTTGTTAGGAAATGTTTTTTTTCCAAGTACAGTCAGACCCATACAACTGTGGAATAGAAAGACAATTTTTGGACACAAGTTATGATTTTGAATAGTCCAAAGAACATTAAAACCAGCAATTGTGCAGTGTGCACTGACCCATTTTACTTAGTATGTAAATTTCTAATTGCTACTGATTAAACTACAGTGAAACCCTTAAAAACGAATACATCGAAAGAATTCATCAAATGTCGTATTCTTCACTTTCTGATAATGGAATGTTGCAGATATTTAGTTTTTTAATTAAATGATTATATGGAACTCTTTAAAACTGTTTCCACATATTCATGGCTATTTGATTATTTTCGCAAATACTGAAATTTACGCAATATAGTATAAAACTCATAGAAAAATTGTCAAGACGACATTTGATGAATTCTTCTGATTTATTCGTTATTAAGAGTTTCACTCTATGTGCTATATGATAAATACCAAATACACACTAGATAACTTAAATGTCGAATCTTTCTATTCTACAGTTTGATGGATCTTACTCTAAATGCTAAATGCTATTATCTTACCTGGAATCTGAACACGGGAATATTATTTGTGTTTGGATTGATTTTCACATTGAACAGTCCTAAATAAACTACAGGGTTGATTTTCACATTGAACAGTCCTAAATAAACTACAGAGATGATCTTTACATTGAACAGTCCTAAATAAACTACAGGTTGAACTTTACATTGAACAGTCCTAAATAAACTACAGGGTTGATTTTCACATTGAACAGTCCTAAATACACTACAGGGTTGATTTTCACATTGAACAGTCCTAAATAAACTACAGGGTTGATTTTCACATTGAACAGTCCTAAATAAACTACAGGGTTGATCTTTACATTGAACAGTCATAAATAAACTACAGGTTGAACTTTACATTGAACAGTCCTAAATAAACTACAGGGTTGATCTTTACATTGAACAGTCCTAAATAAACTACAGGTTGATCTTTACATTGAACAGTCCTAAATAAACTACAGAGTTGATCTTTACATTGAACAGTCCTAAATAAACTACAGAGTTGATCTTTACATTGAACAGTCTTATCCTTCGTGGGTAACCCTGAATATGCTAGAATATTTATCTGAGTTTTGAACAATTCTAAACAAACAATATGCTTGTGTTATCTTACTATTTACGAGCAATATGATTAGTATTTTATCAGTTTTAATGTGATATTTGATAAAACTTTATGTTTAAATTATCTTAATACTGAAATCAAACTTTAATCACTTTTAAAAAAATTGACACTTTAGTAATTTGACAGGACTTTTCATCTTTTGCATAATTTCTTTTTTGCAGAGGTGAATATTTTCTTGAATAGTCATTCCGTCCTCTTTGAAAATTATTTTGGTCCCCAGAAGTTAGGGATGCTTGGGCCAAAAAAATTAGGGTTTTTATTCGCTGAATTGGGTAAAATAAATGATTTGATATTATAAATTCTGGGAAAAAGTATCAAAAAAAAATATGCCATATTTAGAATCATTTTCCTCCAAGTTTACCACATATCATCCCCCCCCCCTTTAAGGACTTTAATTCTTGGAATTCTACACCCCTGCTGTAAACTTATAAAAAAACAAATACCTTGTGCTTGGGTTTTCTTTATACAGAAAACCCAAAATAGAATCAGAAGAATTTGATTTATGTACAACATTTTTTATCCTTTGTACACTGTACAGTGTACACCATTATTTTGTTTCTAAAAACTTAGAAGATTATTTATTGTTATCATATCGAAACCAATTTGAGGGACAATAATGGAAAACTTGGTTTTTCGATTTTAATGAAATTTGTTAGTGAAGATCCTTTCCAAGACTGTTGTATATGTCCCATTAAGTGACTTATTTGTGTAGAAAAATACTAAATAGTTAAATAGCTTTCTATGAAGAGTTGAAAATATTATGAACATTATTCTAAACTTGATTGAGTATATTTTGCCAGAACTGCATAATTTAAAAGTTTAGCTCAAAAATTCCATATTCGCACTATTTGAGTATTGTTTGTCTTATTTTTCCTTTAAAACTTCTTAATTGAAACTGAATCTTAAAATATTTACTATAGAATTAGAATTATACTAACAAAGGTGTTTCAGACTAAAGTTAAAGGGATTTTTTAAGTGACTTCATGTTCAAAAAGTTGCAAACTCAATTCACAAAGGCACTATTTTACCCTTATCTGTCTAAGGATGATGGTGCTGTATGATACATAACTACAACAATACTATCACAAGAAGAAGTTTGTTCCCGTTTTAGTCGCCTGTACTCTATAGCTGTATATAATATATATGTACTGTACAAATTGCTCTATCTTCCTTTAAGTCTGTCTGGTTCTTTAGATGACCGGAGGCCGAATTTAAAGAATTTGAGCCGCGGCTTAAATTTTAGTCGCAATTTAAATATGGTTGGTTCTGCTTAAAACTGTATTCAATGTTTCAAGATTTAAGCCTGCGCTCAATTGAAATCGGTTTTTAGCGGATTTAAGACACGGCTCAAATTCATTAAATTCTGACACGGAGTATATGCAATTGAATCATTTTAAAGAATAAAGTTCAGAAGACAGAAACATCTCATATTTTTATTCTTATTTCACTCTAAATAAGATAAATCACAATAAACTATATATATCAAATACATTTAATCAACTTTAATCATTGTAATACATATATACTTGATCACAGGAGAGTATAATTACAGAGGATATTAGTTCAAAACTGCTCTTTGGACCAAAGTTGACACTGAGTTTCAATTTAGAGACATCAAACCGGTTTAAAACTAGTTCCCCTTGGACTAATATCTATATAGAAGTGAATAAATCATACATTTTTTTAACGCAAAGGCGCAACAAAGAGAAAAGGGTTGATTTCTTCCCCGTTATCCCCCCCCCCCTCCGACCGTTTAGGACCTTCCAATTCCTTCTCTGACTTTCCTTCTTAAAGAATAAATTCTAATTGCGCATTTGAAATTGACTAGTCAATCATATCACTTAATGTATACTTTTCTATGATATTAAAAGATTCTCTCATATATTTACATTTGGTATCATTTGTTGAAAAAACCTGTAAAAAGGGAAATATGGTTAAAAATATACATTTGTTCAAAAAAATGCCCCTATTTTATCACAGTAGTTTTTAGTTATACAAACTGTGGACAATTTTTACGCATGCTGTTCTTAAAAATATTTAAGTTATACTAAGTGTGGAGAACCTTTACACATTGGTGTCCTAAAAATAATGAGGTCATTTAATAGAAAATTCATCTTGAAAATAATTTGGAAATAGTTTTAGTTTTAAATTAATAAAATCAACAAGGAAAAAATACAAACCTGTTTAATCAAATAAATTTCTAACATTTTAATTTTTCCCCAAGCTTGAAAACTATCACCTTTTTGCCGTAAACATTTTTTTTTCATTTAATCTTTGCTTTTTTATCATGCACGAAACGAAAAACCTAAATTTAAAAAAAAATTCTCAAGATATGGCACAAATGCATATTATAAAAACACTTTGCACTTTGATTCTTTTTTTGGCGGATTTGAAGAGAATCTCTTCTTTAACTGTAATATCAGCATGTATCACTGTAAATGCAATATTTATAGAATAGGCCACCATGATGTACATAAACTACATTAACCTCACAACACAGGAATGATTCATCAGAGGTCCTGTCCGTAATGCCTCACATAGATTCAGGCTGCTCTATATTTTGCAATTTTAAGACTGGGTTGACTTTAAAGGGACTGTTCACGTATTTTCAGGGTAAACTAAAAACCCTACTGGAAGAGCAGAGATGATGTTTGATCTGAATTTATTTACTCCGAGCATGATGTTCTACTGGAAGAGTAGGGAAGATGTTGATCTATATTTACTGTTAGGATTGGAAACATAAGGTTCGCTCTCTAAACTATTCCTAAATAATATTTTTTCAAAAAAATTGTCTTTTTTGAAGAGACGGTAATCGTAATTTATAGTGATCCGCAATTTAAGGAAGGAAATGCCCTACGCACAACAGTTGCCTTTAAACCTTTATTTGACGCAATGATGTGGAATATATCGTCGTTTTTCTTTCTTAGAAAAAGCAAATGATTTTAAGGGTATCGATGTGAATCTGATTTGCCCTTCATTAAATGTAGGGTCTCTTGCAATTACGTCTACAGTCCCTTAAACCTTCAAACTTTTTTTGGTGAACTTTATGAATTCTCTTAAATCGAAAAAATATTTTCCTGGGATGAATAAGCTCCATTTGACCTGATATTCTCCGGTTTACCAACTAATCATACAATCAATCTATCAATCAATATTAAAATTGGTAAAAACCATGTAATCCTTTGTTCCGATATTGATCAATTTTGATCGAATCCGAATTTAAGTCAGAATGATTCATTCTCAATCCCCCCCTTTAAATTTCAATAAAACTTTCTTTAACATTAAAGTTTCAGTAGAAGAAAATATTTCCATTTGGTGTATAGCGCCACCTTAAGGATTTATCTCTAATTGAATAATTTAGATAGATAGAAATTTCTATTGATTCAGAATAGACACCAAACACATGACTTAACCCTGATAGGATCAGGCGCTAATGGACTCGGCATCCTAGAGTGTTAATGATAAAAAATTCAAAATTACGTTCCATGGCGCGGATTTCCTGTTTACTGTAGATCCGCCAAGTTAACATTTAAATAGAGTTTTCGCGCTTATAGCAATTGAACAATGTTAAAACATATTGCTTATGTACTGTACATTTTCTTATTTTCTATTCTACAGGAATCGGCCTTTATTTCAATACAATGATAACGACTTTCTGTTTAAACTTTGATTTCTACCGATTTAAACAAAAATAATTTGTAAACAAGAACAAACTGTTAGGTTAAGGAAAATACGCTTAGTTTTTGAAACGTTGCTGTCTTATCAATTTGTTTTTTTTTACTAAATGTATTATTAACATTTATAGCTTCTCTTGGTTTACATGTTTATCTGTATATTTTGTTTTTAAAAGCTTTTGTTAAACTTCAAACACTTTATAAAAATTAGTTCTAGTGCAGATCAATGAATATGAATATAAAGTAATTGCTCACTCCTTTTATATGGATGAAGTTCAGGATATATGGATTGCCAGTCACTCCCTTTATTTGGATGGATATGAATATAAAGTGATTGTCAGTCAATCCCTTTATGTGGATGCATATCAATATATATTAATTGCTGGTCAATCTCTTTTTATGGATGAATATCAAGATATATTGCTTGCCGGTCACTCCCTTTATATGGATGCATATCAATATATATTAATTGCCGGTCAATCCCTTTATATGGATGCATATCAATATATATTAATTGCTGTTAACTCCCTTTATATGGATGCATATCAATATATATTAATTGCTGGTCACTCCCTTTATATGGATGAATATCAAAATATATTAATTGCTGGTCACTCCCTTTATATGGATGAATATCAAAATATATTAATTGNGCATTCGAGAAATAAACGTTCGGAACCTTATTATTATCCTTTGTTATGGAGAGCGTTGAGAGGAGGAAGGCTTACAATCCAATCTCGAGAAATACTGCACGGTATATACATTAGGTCTTTAGGGAAATCGCTAGGTAGCGAAACAATGGATGCATATCAATATATATTAATTGCTGGTCACTCCCTCTATATGGTTGAATCTCAATATATATTAATTGATGGTCATTCCCTTTATATGGATGAATCTCAATATAAATTAATTGCTGGTCACTCCTTTTATTTGGATGCATATCAATATATATTAATTGCTGGTCACTCCCTTTATATGGATGAATAGCAAAATATATTAGTTGCTGGTCACTCCCTTTATATGGATGAATATCAAAATATATCAATTGCTGGTCACTCCCTTTATATGGATGAATCTCAATATATATTAATTGCTGGTCACTCCCTTCATATTTATGAATCTCAATATATATTAATTGCTGGTCACTCCCTTTATATGGATGCACATCAATATATATTAATTGCTGGTCACTCCCTTTATATGGATGAATATCAATATATATTAATTGCTGGTCACTCCTTTTATTTGGATGCATATCAATATATATTAATTGCTGGTCACTCCCTTTATATGGATGCATATCAATATATATTAATTGCTGGTCACTCCTTTTATATGGTTGAATCTCAAGATATATTAATTGCTGGTCAATCCCTTTATATAGATGAATATCAATATATATTAATTGCTGGTCACTCCCTTTATATGGATGAATATCAATATATATTGTTTGCTGGTCACTCCCTTTATATGGATGAATATCAATATATATTAATTGCTGGTCACTCCCTTTATATGGATGAATATCAATATATATTAATTGCTGGTCACTCCCTTTATAGGGTTGAATCTCAAGATATATTAATTGCTGGTCAATCCCTTTATATGGATGAATATCAATATATATTAATTGCTGGTCACTCCCTCTATATGGATGAATCTCAAGATATATTAATTAATTGCTGGTCACTCCCTTTATATGGTTGAATCTCAATATATATTGATTGATTGCTCTATGCCTGATCTAACTGCTGCTCTACTTGTCTTCTAATACTCTGCTCTGCTCTCAGCTGCTTCTCTCTCTTCTCCAGCAATGCTCTCAGAGCAAAAAACTCATCCTCTGATCCTACAAAAATATCCCGTTATTCTGGAACAAAATAATTTTACATGAAACTAATCCTTTCCTAAAACTCTGATTGTAAAATCCCTTTCTCTTTGCAACCGATGGTTTAAACCTTTGTTATTTCTAACTTTGACAATTATAATTGACAGAATTCATATTTTGAAATATTATACCAGGTTGCAAAGATATTAGAGTTAAAAATCAAACGGAAAAAATATTAAATACAACTGTATACTGCATGCAAACAATGCAATGTAATGTAATCTTCTCATTCATAAGTTCCAAGCTCCGGTTAATTAAGAATTAAGAAAGTGTCCAACCGGCCATGTTGGTGGTATCATTATCGGCAATATTAAATTTTAAGCAATTTTGATTTTTTTTCTTGTTCTCTATTTAACTTCAAGATTTCAAAACGCAAGCAGTTAAAGATAAAAATTTTGGATAAAAATATATCCAGCTTACTTTTGAGTTTGTTTCTGATACTGGAAAGTTCTGTGAGAGTATTGGCGAGCCTTTCCTCCAAATCCGACTAACAAATAAAATTACATTAAAGGGGACTGTTCATGTACTTTCCTCCAAATCCGAATAACAAATATAATTACAATAAAGGAGACTGTTCATGTACTTTCCTCCAAATCAGACTAACAAATAAAATTACATTAAAGGGACTGTTCATGTCCTTTCCTCCAAATCCGACTAACAAATAAAATTACATTAAAGGGGACTGTTCATGTACTTTCCTCCAAATCCGACTAACAAATAAAATTACATTAAAGGGACTGTTCATGTACTTTCCTCCAAATCAGACTAACAAAATGTAATTCTATTTGTTAGTCTGATTGTAATTCTGTAAAGGGGGCTGTTCATATACTTTCCTCCAAATCAGACTAACAAATAGAATTACAATAAAGGAGACTGTTTATGTACTTTCCTCCAAATCAGACTAAAAAATAAAATTACATTGAAGGAGACTGTTTATGTACTTTATATGACTAGTATAAAGAAAGAGCCCTTTTCATTTGTATCAGTCTAATTGACTTTATGTATCCTAACCATTAAACAATAGACAAGAGACAATCACACGGTAATTTAGATGAACTGGATCCAAAGAGACAATCACACGCTAATCTATATGAACTGTATCCAAAGTTCAACTATACTTTATTTTCGATCTATTTAACTGAATTTGTGGATTTTTTACTTATGTTGGATTGCAAATGTTTAAAACTAAAGTACATAACGTAACTTTGTTTGCTGGAATAATTAAGATATTATTTTTTATGTCTTGTTCGGATATAATTAGCTTCTTTAAGTTTGTTTAATTGAATAATTGACAAAACATTAAAATAGGAAATGCTTTTTTCCAAGAATTTTTTTAAAAAGTTCTAAAATATGAAAAAACCTGAATTCCGGTTGTAAGGCTCTCCTTTTCTTTTTCAAACTCTTCTTGTCGTTTATTCTTTTCTCCGATATAATTATTTATTTTCCTAAATATACATTTTTTTATTTGATAAAAATAATTTTGAAATAATTAATTTTTAAAAAAACGTGCTCTTTATGGTTTAGGCTGCACGGTGACTGATAATGAGCAATTTTGGCGAAAATCTGTACATTTATACTTTTTTAGGAAAAGTGTATGATCACAAGAAAAGGGTAAAAATGTGAAAATTCATGTTGTATTTGCATTATGCTTTGCAAATACCGTTCAAATTAGCATGCAAAAAATGGTAAAAAATTAAATGTTTTAAACCCATTTTAGTTCCTTCTGGATATTCAAAAGAATAAAACCGTTCAAACTGTTTTTACAGGGTCACAATAAAGTATATTTTCCAATATTATATTTACCTAAGTTTAGTGTTTACTGTTGCTTTCGCCATTATTTCATATTCAGTTCGTAATCTATCCAAGGTTTTCTGAAATCTCGTCTCTTCGTCAATTCTAAAAAAATATTAATTGATAAATTCTAAAACTGAGTTTCTACCTTTTGACTTGGAGTTGGTAAGAAACGGGTAGAATGAGTTAAGCTAACCAAGATCTAAACCACAAATTATTCTCACTAGCTAAGGGAATGATTTTTGGCGTATTGTTCCGTTTTGCTGACTTTAGTCTGCATCTTTACTGTACATTGTACATTCGTACAACTAGTCCTAGCTGCCAAAATGTCAGTCTGGTACTTCAATTGAACCAGAGTTTTCAGTGGCTATTTTTCTGGTATTCGGTTTGGTAAAACTTTATCTGTTACTTTAGGCAGAGCTGGTTCAATTACAATAGAGTCTGAGATACAGAGAAATTGTTACAGAGTGAATTTTTTCCCTCTTTTTAAAATTTGGATTTCAAACTATTAAAAAATGTCTAAATTACGGATATTTCGCCTGAATTTTAGGGATATGTCAAACAATATTATAATTAAAGAACAATTTGTTAGGAATTTTGAATAAAATGTTCTCAATATTGTAAATTTTATATAAAGAACCAAATATTAGCATTTTTTCAAACAAAATATTACCTAACTCTTGAAAGCTTGTTCTGAAGTTCTTCAATTGTTTGATCTTTTTTTAAAACTGCTTCTTGAAGATCTCTGTTTTCATGAAGAATATCATCTAAAGAAACATTTTAAGAATAAATACAAATTTTTTTGGTCAATGGTATGCCATGCATAAACAAGGGCGTACATCAGATTTAATTGGGGGGGAATATTATTTTAAAGGGACCCATAAAACTAGAATATGAATAGACGTTTAAGTTTCGTCTTCCTATTCCACAGTTTTATGTTTCTAATTGTATTTACCTAGTGTACTGAGTTTCTCTTTAGTTTTGATGAGTTCATTTTCTAATCCTGAATTATTCTTCTTCAAAGTTGAAGTTTCGAACTCGAGATCACGGAGTTTTAGTCCAACATTCTTCTCTTTCTCCAGCAGTTTCCTTTCCTTTTCTAATCTATTCTCTAGTTCAGCTCTTCTTCTTCTTTCTTCTTCTAGTTTTCCTGCCAGTTCTTCAACCTTCCTCTCCTCCTCCTCCCTCCTTCTCTTCTCCTCCCTCATCTCCTTCTCCTTGTTCTTGTTGATCTCCCTGGTGGTGTGCTCAAGGAGGTCCAGGTCGGAGCTCAGGTTCTTCCTGGTTTTCCTTTCCTCATCCAGCTCACCTTTCAACCGAGTACTAAACATTAAACAACAAGATAAAAGGGACTGTACAGTGTATAAACGTGATTTCAAGTGAACCTTCATTTGTAGAAGGACATGTCCGATTCTGAACGGCACCCTTTGTCTGATCTAGGAGACGGAAAACTATATTGTTTGTAGTTAGACAAAGAAAGGGTAACGACGTTGTGTATCGGACATGCCACTTTATGAATATTACGTCTACAGTTCATTTATTAAACTTTCAGTGTTATTTCAAGTGTTATTTCGTTGAAAGTGCTACATCCGGAGTTAACACGGTATATCATTTAAAGCGACTAAAACATAATTTCAAGTGACCATCCATTTGGCATGTATGATTCACAACGGGACAAAGAATAATCAAAAATGAACTAGATATCCAGTTTTTGAGAATAATTTCTCATTATGAATGAATTGTGGATTTCTGCTGCATATATTGGAGAACATTTTTCAGAATTAAACATTTTTTAGATAAAACAACTTAATCTTCCACGTTATTGATCAGATAAAGGTTTAAAGATTCTCTTTAGAGCCCTTTGTTTCCTTTCTTTAGATAATTTCAAAAATTGAAATTATTTTAATCTATCGAATTTTACAAATGAAGAGTTCTATGACTACATTTTTTATTTTAATTTCTTTAATTTTTAATCTTACTTTTTCAAAATGTTTTGACGAAGATTAAAGTTTTCATTTTTAAATTCAGTCTCCAGATCATTGATAACAACTCGTAGCCTTGTGTTCTCTAAACATTTATCAATTATTTAAATTTACATTGTGCTAAGAAATATTTATTTTATCATATGGTGTTTTAATTATTTAATAATTTGGCCTGTTTTATGAAGTTTTATCACCCAACCACAACAAATTTTTAACTTCCAAATTTTAAGAACATCTTTTATCTCGACAATTTTACCTTTTTCATGAACAGTTTTCAAATGTTGAACTTCTTTTTCTAATTTAAAAATATTGTCCTTCAGGTTTTCACAATTTTTCTCCTCCTGTCAAAAACACAAAAATATACTGGATGAAAGAAAAAACAGAAGATTAGCGATGTTTCGCACAACATTTTAGGTATAAACCCATTAAAATGTGACTATAAAATTTCAAAAATATTTTAGGAACATTAAAAAAAAATATTTTTCGCGAAACCAACTGTTTTTAGAAAAGTTAAATTTCTTTTAAAATTGATGAAAACATATATCTATTGTTTTTCAAAATTTCACAAAATTCATGAATAATTAAAATAGATTCGAAAAAATTCTTACAAAATGTGGAAATGTGCACACATTAAGTCTTCAGTAGTGGGTTTGGAAAATTTGAGTTTGTGCCTAAGACTCAGTTCCTTTGTAAACTTTTGAGATTTTAAAAAGAAATTTTCAAGTCTAACCCTATGTTTTCGATCTGTTTCTATTCTGAGCTGATTTTTGAGTTCTTCAATAATATTTTCTGAATCTTCAGTTCGGTTCAATTTCTGAAGCAAGCTGGCTTTCTCCTGTATAAACAAAATTATATGAAATATTCTTTGACGGCGACCCTACTAACTTAGCTCAGAAGAACAGGTCTTTTTTTTACATGATAACGCCGTACGCATGTTGACAGAACTACAGGTTATGCAACATTAGTACCATCAAATTATATCACATGTTTTTCTGAAGTAATAATTATAATAGAATGCAGTACAGTGAATAGTTTAATAATGCATGGTCTTCACCCCCNATGCCCTGTAATCCTTGAAATATTTATATTTTTTAAAGAAGGTTAGAAATTGCAGTTGAAGGGGTAATCGCCCAGAAATTCACTCTGTGTTATAAAATTCTTAAAAGTGAATATAAATACAATCTGAATTGTACTAAGGTGCCCGTGAATTTAAAAAAAACCGTCCTACACTCAGCAGAAAACTGCCTTTACCCGACGGTCGAAATGTATTTTTTTTCATTTTATTACATTAACATGCCTCTCTGTGTGTTAAAATTTGGCCGGCTTATCAAACATCCACCTACACAATTACAACGCTCTGCTTTATGTTTAAGACTAGTCATCTATAGCGCCTCGAGCCCCCGTTTCTATTGCCAATTTTAGCATCTCCTTGAACATCTGATAGTACTATATAGTAGCCATTATAATCATTCTCAAATTTTGCGGAATTTGAAAAAAATTCAAAATTTTTCTCCAGTTGAAATTTTCCATTTTTACGGTATATAAACCTTTCCTGCTTTCTGGAATCTTGTGATTTTGAGGTTTATACAAACGAGCAGACAAGCAAAGTATGTAAATAAATACAAAGATGTAACTACCTTCTGTGTGTTGTTGTAGTTCTCCTCCAGGATATTGACCCTGGTAGTCTGCTCCTCTAGGAACCTCAAAACCTTCTTCAACCTGTCCTCTGACCTCTTCACCTCATCCTCCAATTCCAGGATACGCTTCTCCTTCATCATCATCATCATCACCATCATCATCATCATCATCATCATCATCATCATCATCGTCATCATCATCATCATCATCATCATCATCATCATCATCATCATCATCATCATCATCATCATCATGTCAATCATTATAATGATGATTTTCATGATTGTCAAAATAATAATGATAATCATCTTTCGTATTCGTATTTATCATTTGTATTATCATTATTACTCTTATTAGAAGCATTTACCTTAGTTACCAATTGCAGTTCGCATTGTTCAAGAGATATTTTGAACTTAGTGTGCTCCGATAATATGCTTTCAAACTAGAACAGAGATTTATTCAGATCTGTATCTGTATCTGTATCTGTATATGTATCTGTATTTTTATTTGTATCTGTATCTGTATCTGTATCTGTATCTGTATCTGTATCTGTATCTGTATCTGTATCTGTATCTGTATCTGTATCTGTATCTGTATCTGTATGCGTATATGTATCCTACCGTCGATTCTTTAGCCTTGTATTCCTGTATTCTAGAAGTGAGAGCTTCTATTCTGGACTCAATGTCGTCTTCAACTTTCACAGAACTATAGCTTGATATCTCTTCTCTGCATTTAAATATTTATTAATATTTGTCTTTAAATCTTTAAATAACACGTCCTGTAGGTTAACTTTAAGCTTATCTATAGAGGTCGTTGTTTACAAAATTAAGGAGGCAATGAAAAATAACTTATTCAATTCAACATTGAAGTGCAAAAGTTGTTATTATTATTATTATTATTATTATTGTTATTATTATTATTATTTTTATTATTATTGTTATTATTATTATTATTAAATATCATTATACCTGACTGATGAAAAAGTATGAAACTTCATTCCCTGCGTGCGAGCCTGAATAAAGAAATAAAAATGTATAAAAAGATATAATTCAAAACAATGAAATATTTGCTTAAAAATCATGTTTTTACATTTTTGTTTTATTGTTTTTTAAAGAATGCAAGTTATAAAAATTAAATATGTTTGTTGAAGAGTTTGAAGAGTTTAATATTTAACAGTGTTTGAAGAGTTTTTATAAATTATGACAGGGTTCATTTTTAATAGTGTAATTAAGAAGAGGTGGATCTTATGATTGTGATTCAGATTATGAAGAGGATAATATTTAACAGTGCAATTAAAAACAGCGTTATGTTATAAAAGTGGATTATTAAAGAAGAAACTGATAAAGGATGTAAGGAGATAATGGCCTAATCATACAGTTCATCAAATATGCAGTACGCTGTTGCAGCAAGTAAGTGGAGTACCTGGCCTGTACATTAGTAAAGGTTTAGCGTACATCATCACTCTTTATACTATAACCTCGTTGACTATAACAAAGCTGGTTAACAGAAAGAGTTTAGATTAATGTCAGCCTCAGTTTTACTCTTGCTAAGCTTAATATTTGTACGACTTATGAACGCTTTAGAATTTATTTGTCTTTGCCACAAACTCTGAAATTCTAATTCCTTATCTTTGCAACCCAATGTCGTTGACCTTGGAAATTTCAAAGTATGAACTCTGTTAGATTAAATTATCTAAGTTTGAAATATTAAAGGTTTTCGCCTTCAGGTTGCAAAGATAAAGGATTTGAAAAATATGAGTTTTTGGCAAAGACTTAATTCTTTTGTATCTTCCTTGTAACTTGAAAATACACGTGTCTCTATGAAGGATAAAATGTTGATGCGGTGCAGGGAGAAATAAAAAATTAAGAAAAACACTTGTAAATCAAAATAAACAGTAACAAGTGCACAGGCTAGGACTAATAATAAGATTAAATAAAATAACATTTGTATTTTTTGGAACATTTTTACAAATAATTTCCTTAGGTTTTCATTTACGTGTCAAAACGGTGTATTCGTATGTTTTTTTTAGGNATTCAGCCCCCCCCCCTTATTTAGGCTCTGATTACGAATCCCTCAAATTTAATTTTACTTTCCCTGCAATATTACCTGAATTTTATTTTCCCTTCAATATTACCTGAATTTTACTTTTCTTTCAATATTACCTGAATTTTACTTTCCCTTCAATATTACCTAAATTTCACTTTCCCTTCAATATTACCTGAATTTTACTTTTCTTTCAATATTACCTGAATTTTACTTTCCCTTCAATATTACCTGAATTTTACTTTTCCTTCAATATTACCTGAATTTTACTTTTCCTTCAATATTACCTGAATATTTTACTTTTCATTCAATAATACCTGAATTTTACTTTTCCTTCAATATTTCCTGAATTTTACTTTTCTTTCAATAATACCTGAATTTTACTTTCCCTTCAATATTAACTGAATTTTACTTTTCTTTCAATATTACCTGAATTTTACTTTCCCTTCAATATTACCCGAATTTTACTATCTCTTCAATATTACCTGAATTTTACTTTTCTTTCAATATTACCTGAAGTTTACTTTCCCTTCAATATTACCTGAAGTTTACTTTCCCTTCAATATTACCTAAATTGTTCCTGATTAATCTGAGATTTTAGTTCCTCAACTTCTCTCTGTTTCTCCTGACCCATCCGCTTTAATTCCTTCTCCTTATCCCTCAGCTCCTAGCAAATACAAACACGAAATAAATGACAGGATTTTGTCGAAGAACTAAAATTATTTTAACATTTTCATGAATCAGCTTCAATCCTCCAAGTGTGAGCTTAATTTGAAAGAAAGTTTCGATTTAAAAAAATTGAAAAAAATGGGTTCACTCAAAAATTTCAGCCAATTTGGTCCAGCCATTAGGCCAGCTTTAGCTGATATATATACATATATTTGAGAGAAGAGCTTTATTATTTAGGTAAACTTTGAAAACTAACTATTTTTAATTGCGGTTTCTCTACAAAAGTGACACACCTTTATATCTTGAAAAACCACAATATCTTCTACATTATTGATCAGATAAAAATTCAAAGATACCATTGTGTTTAGTGCTTTCCTATATTTGCAGTTGGAGGATTAGTTGAAATTACGCTTACAGTACCTTTAGTGCAAAAAATCATTGCCTTTACCTGTAACAATTTCTCTAAATCTTCATCATTTGCATTGTTGGCGCTTCGTGTCCGATCTAATTCTGCTCTAAGAGCAATTAATTTGTTCTCCAGTTCTCTATTCCTCTGGTTTAGTCTCTGCTCTGTCTCCTGGAGAGCATCCTTGTCGGACTCCAGGCTGTTCATCTCCTCCTTGATGGCCTCCAGTTTCTGCTGGAGGTTCAGTATTTTAGCCTCCAACCTCCGGATCTCCTTAATATTGACCTCGGTAGGAATAGGGGTATCTAGTTGTTTATCAAAACTGTATAATTTCTAAGTTTGATTTTTTACTTTTACTTTTGCGAAAATCGAAAAATAACAGCGATCGTTTTAATAACTCGTATTTCTTTATATCTTTCTGTTAGAGTGAAAATTGTACATACTAGTCTATTTTAACTTTTAATTGTAATTTGTACCATATAAAACAATTACAAAAAGGTTTGCAGATTTAATAATAATTTTCGTGGATTTTCAAAATTTGTCGAAAATCAAAATTTTTTTGGATACTTTTTGTGATTCTAAGGATCCATAAAACTTCCCTGGGGTTATGTAAGGTCGTACACAAAACTAGGGCCTGATCGGTTCTGCGATAAAACTTTTGAATTATGATAAAGATCGCAGATTTTTGTTGAAACGAACCAAGACCAATTAACAATTAAAAATTTTACCATTAAAAAGTTAAATAAAAAATGTTGTATAAAAGTGACAAGAATAGGAAATTATCATCTTTACCTTAGATTCAACTTCCTCTAAGTTATCCTCCATTTCAGAACGTTTTTCTAAAAAGTATTAAATTTGTTCAACCTTGATGTATTCTAAACTTAATCGAAAAAAAAGTTTTTCTTGCTAAAAAATTGCAAAAATTTATTTGAATTTTGTGCAAATTCATTTCTCAGCAAATTAAACTTCCATAAATGGGTGAAAATGCAAACTTGTTTCAAACTTAAGCTTTCTTTAACTTTCTAAATATCTTTGCAATCAGAGCTGAGCTGAAAACTTTAGAATCGTGGATATCAAGATTATTGGTTTATCTCCTCTTTTCTTAATCTATAATATCAAAATAAAGAAAACTTTAATCTTAAGATTAACAAAAAAGGAGATTAACACTGATCGCGATATCCACAATTCTAAAGTTTTCAGCTTTGATGAGGTTAACCTTGATATTTCAACTTTGTCAATTTGATTAAGCTGATTTCATAACTTGAAATCTAATGGTGTACACCATATGTAAGGTTGAAAAGATTTGTATCAGATGTAGGTATCAGATGTAGAGTTTTAACAAATTAACACACCTCTTAAAGCCTTGTTTTCAGATAAAATTAATTCATGTCTTTTTGATAATTCCAAAAATGCAGTTTCTGCGGCGGCTAAATGTTCCTGGGTTTCTTTCAGTACAAACTGAAGATTTTTGGATGTATTGTTGAACTGGTTCAAACCAACCATATCCATATTTTTATCCATATCCATATTTTTATCCAATTCCAATTTGGATCCAAGCAAAGTAATTTCTTCATCTTTATGCTTTAATGCCACTAGAAACAATTAAACAAAATTAAAGAAAAAAAATTACATTTTTTTGGATAAATAATTAATATCTTGTTGTCAAACCTGATAATGCCAGCAGTTCTTGCTTGGTTTCGGACACAAGCACATCTTTACTTTCAACTAGATTTCTGATTTCTAGATCTTTAGAATTCATATCCAGGGTTAGATTTTCTATCTCTAGGTCCTTTTTCTCCATAGCTAGAGTCAAGTCATGTAGAGACTCATCCTTCAGTTCTTTAAGATTTTGTATATCTAAGTCTCTTTTTTCTATAGCCAGAGTTAAGTCATTTATAGACTTTTCTTTTGTTTCTTTTAGGATATTTATCTCTAGGTCTTTTTTCTCAATAGCCCGAGTCAAGTCATTTATAGACTTATCCTTTAGTTCGTTTAGATTTTTTATATTCAAAATTCTTTTTTCTATAGCTAGAGTTAAGTCACTTATAGCCTTTTCTTTTGTTTCTTTAAGGTTATTTATCTCTAGGTCTTTTTTCTCAATAGCTTGAGTCAAGTCTTTTATATACTTATTCTTTAACTCTTCTAGATTTTGTATCTCTAAGTCTCTGGCCTTAAATGCATTATCTAGGTCATCTAAAGACTTATTCTTTAAGTCCTTTAAGTTTTGTATCTCTAAATCTCTATTTTCTAGTTTTTGGGTAAGTTCATCAACAGATTTCTCTAGTTTAGCTCTAGTGATCTCAACGTCTTGAAGCTTGTATCTTAGTTCGTTTATGTCTTGGCTTCTTTCATTTTCTTTCTCATCCTTTGCTTTGATTTCTATATTTTCTCCTTCTTGTCTCAAGCTTAATTCAAAAGATTGGTTTTCTAGATTAAGAATAATATCTTTAAGAGAACGGATTTTTTCATTTAGGTTTTCAATAGTTTCTTCAAGATCATTGAGTTTCTCATCTTTCTCCTCCAAAACACGATTTGCAGTCTCTAATGTTTTCTTCAGGTTATTAAGCTCCTCTTCGTTTTTGGTCAATGCATCGTTAACATCTTTTAATTCTTTGTTTGAAACCTCATTGATATTTGGTTCTTTTAGTTTAGTGGTCAGCGTTGTTATTTCCTCATTGTTTACTTCTACAACCAGTTTTAGTGCTTCCAATTCTTCTCTTTGTTCTTCAGACTCTTTTTCTAAAATGTTCAATATTGTTTTGAATGAAGTTGCTCATAGTTTTATAAAATTAACTTAAATTTTAATCCCTTTATCTTTGTAAAACCTTTGGCATTTCAAACATAGATTATTCATAGTTTGAAATATCTAAGGTCTACGTACGACATTGGGTTGCAAAGATATAGGAATTAGAAAATCAGAGTTTGTGGCAAAGAATCAATTCCTTAGTATATATTTGCTTATTCTCTAAGAGCAATGAAAATGTATAAAAAAAATTTTGTTAAAAAATTTACTTTATGATTAATTTCTTTAAAAACTTTTCATTTTTTATTTTTTATTGGAAAATAATTACCGAGAATCTGGCAGGCTCTGACGAGATTTTTGTTTTCAAGCTGAACTGTGGCGTAAACATCTTGGATTTCAAGCAATTCTGCGTTTTTTCTTTCCAACTTATTCTCTATATTCTTAGTTAACTCCTCTTGCGTCGATAAACTAAAATTAAGTTTTATATTCGGAATTGCAAAATAAGATTGAAAAAAACAACAACATTTTATTCTATTATTGGATTTATTCCACTGATAAGGTTATTTTAAATAAAAGGTAGATCGTGCTTTCGAGATTTTGTAAACAAACAAAAGACTGCACCCCGAAACAAAGAAAATATTCTGGTCAAAAAAAGTTGAAAAAAACGTACGTATGTATGTATAGTCATAAATTACCTCTTTTGTAGGGAAAGACAAAGGTTTTTGTCTTTTAAATGTTCTTCTGTCTTCTTGTTCAATTCTACATTTAATTCTGTAACATCATTTTCAAGTTTTTCTATAATAGAGTTCATTTCTGCAATTTCTGAAGGGGTTTTTTCTTCCAAAGATGTTTTGGCAGATTTTCCCGTTTGAGCTGTAAGATGAGCTGTTAGATCAGCATTTAATACTTGAATCTGTTTCTCACAAGCAGCTATTTTAGCATCTTTTTCCTCACAGCGCAAAGTATTCTCTTTTTCTAACATTTCGTTTTTATTTCGTAGATTTTCAATCTCATTCTTCAGCTGAGTCAGCTGATCATTGAAGGTTTCGTAATTGTTTTCAAACCAAGCATTTTCTTCTTTTAGAATCAACATCTCGGTTTCCAGCTTAACATTGGAAAAATACATAATACAATTAAAGTGCAATCTACAGTTAGAATCTGTAGAAAAGGAAGACGATTGTCCAGTGAACATGAAATTAATTTTGCAGTGCACACAGACCCATTTCAATTAATAGGCTGATTTACAAGATACTTTTAAATTACTTTATACAACATATGCACCAAATAATTATATAATTGTCGTCATCTTATTCCACAGTTTTATGTGGCTTATTTACTAAAATATTTTAAAAAATAGTTATATTTATGATTGTAAAGCTTTTTTTTTATAAATATTTATTTTTTATATAATGCAAGTTTAATATCGAATATTAAAATCCATAAACATTTTACTATTGTTACCTATGGATTTAATAACATTACCCAAAAATTTAAAACATGATTTTTTCTTTTATTAAAAACGTGCTGACCTGTACTAAAGCCTGGGATTTATCTTTAATACAAGATCCTTGTTCGTCCAGTTCATCAAGTAAACTCGTCTTTAAACAATCTATAGTTCCTAGTCGTCCCCTGGAAATATTACCTATAGTTCCTAGTCGTCCTCTGGAAATATTATATATAGTTCCTAGTCGTCCCCTGGAAATATTATCTATAGTTTCTGGTCGTCCTCTGGAAATATTATCTATAGTTCCTAGTCGTCCCCTGGAAATATTATCTATAGTTCCTAGTCGTCCTCTGGAAATATTATCTTAGTTCCTAGTCGTCCCCTGGAAATATTAAGTATAGTTCCTAGTCGTCCCCTAGAAATAATAACTAGAGTTCCTAGTCGTCCCCTGGAAATATTATCTATAGTTCCTAGTCGTCCCCTGGAAATATTAAGTATAGTTCCTAGTCGTCTCCTGGGAATATTATCTATAGTTCCTAGTTGTCGTTCACATAGGCTTAAATAATACAACATATTTTTTCTTCAAAATTTTATTTCCCACCCAAAGTGTTTTTAAAATCAAAATGTTAAAGATTTATATGATGTTCAGAGTAAAAGTATTGATTTACTTTATGAGTGAGTGTTCCAATTCCAGGTTATCCTTCTCCTTCGCAACCATCATCATCTTCTCCCGTAGCTTCCTAACCAACAGATATATTCACGAACAAAGGACGAAAATGCACAACTTTTAAAGGGACTGTTAACATAATTTTCAGGAACCCGTTATTGAAGATTTGCAAAGGTAACCTTTAAACCGTCATCTGACCAACAATGTGGAAGATATCATTTCTTTTTTATTCAAAATTTTGTTTGAAAAATGTCCATTATCTTTTTTCTCTCTGACGCACACAGCCGCACCCCACAAGTCACTTAAAACCCACAAATAATCCATTTTTCGATAAAATTACAACCTATTCAACCTATACAATACATATCTTAAGGCTTAAATTATTTTTAATTTTTATCATTTATATATTTCTGTTTCCTGTTCTCATTGTAAAGTTCTTCCACGGTCTGATTATGTGTCTCTCTTAAACTCTTCAGGAGCTCGGTGTGAGAATTCAAAAAGTTTCGCAGTTTTGTATTTTCTCTAAAAAATAAATAAATTGAAAACCTAAATGGGTCTAAAGCTCGGGGTTGTCTGGCTGTTTTCGGTATTAGAAAGAAAAGTTTCGAATATTAGTTTTGAAAAGGCGAACAAAAATAAACAGATAAAATTTTGAAAATGGTCAACTTGCTGATTTGTTAAAAAAGAATATTTTATCAAGTCAGGTTTTTTTTGCTTGTTTTTTTTAGGGAAAATTAAAAAACCCTTAATTTTTGATACGGCTACTGCTTTTTTTATCAAATGTGTATTGCAATATTCGCCAAACCAGCATGACATTTTTAAACCAATTAAAAAATAACCTGGTCCTTGAAGAATGTGAAACATCCAAGGATTGTATATCAAACGCTTCTTCTGAAAAATAAATGTATACTCGAACATTTCCAGTTTAATTTTAATCATTAAATTCAAAATCTAATGGTTAATTTGTTTTATAAAATTCTAGGATAAATACTCCATTAAACAGATTTCACATAATATTCTTACTTTTATAGGCATTCAAATAGACTAATTTTTTTCTATAAATAGATGAAAATTTTGACTAATAAATCTTAATATGTCCTTGACTATTTTACTTAAAAAATTATAAAAGGTAGATATATTAATGACAAATTAAAATTTGAAAATTCAAGGACAAGAAGTTTTGATTTTGTTTTCGATAAAGGAACAAGTTTTGGCCACAAACTCTGATTTTCTAATCCCTATTGCTGTCCTTTGCGTATACCTCAGATATTTCAAATTCTGTTGAATCAAAAAGTTTAAGTTTGAAATACCAAAGGATTTCACCATGAGATTGCAAAGATATAAGGGTTGGTAAATTTGAGTTTGTGGCACAGACTCAGTTTCTTACTATAACGATAGATGTGCTAATGGCCTTTCAGAAAAATTAGGTAAAAAAATGGGGCAGTTCACTTAAATTAAAGTAAATGGGTCAGTTCACTTAAATTAAAGTAAATAGGGCAGTTCACTTAAATTAAAGTAAATGGGGTAGTTCACTTAAATTAAAGTAAATGGGGTAGTTCACTTAAATTAAGGTAAATGGGGCAGTTCACTTAAATTAAAGTAAATGGGGCATTTCACTTAAATTAAAGTAAATGGGGCAGTTCACTTAAATTAAAGTAAATGGGGTAGTTCACTTAAATTAAAGTAAATGGGGCAGTTCACTTAAATGAAAGTAAATAGGGCAGTTCACTTAAATTAAAGTAAATAAATAATAGTTTACCAAGTTTGAGGATAAGGTTTGAGATCTCTGTCAGATTATTTTCATATTCAGGATTACAGATTTCAACTGGTTTTCTACAAACAAATCGGTTTTAAGCATTAAAGGGACTTTCGGCGTCGTTTCAAATGTTGGATTGCACTGCTTCAAAATCTGCGATTCATTTCTGGAGAAACCAAAATTTAAAATTTAAAACTTTCTAATAGAAAATAATAAGGGTATCTTTATTTTCTTTCCCCAGGCAAGATATAAATTAAGGGTCCATTTAAATTACGTCTCCCTTGACAGTTCCTTTAAAAGTTTTATTATTGTTCAAATATGATTACAACTTTGAAAACCTTATTTTAGTGTAAATGTAAATGTACTCTTCTTCCATAGTGACTTTTAAAATCATTTTTATTGTGGGTAGAATTATTATTATCATTATCCTGATCAGTTTTATCTTAATTGTCTGCAATATTATCTTTATCAATGATTTTAAACATTATGAAATATAAGAGTTTCTATTTTCAAAATATTGATTTGTAATAAAACTTTAACCTTGAATATTTGTTGAAACTACTGGAGGAGTTTCGTTCTCTTAGCTTCAACTTTTTCTTTTTCCGCTCCGGTCTCTCAAAATCTTAAAAAATAGTTTATACATAATTTTTCTTTCTTAGTTTATATGCATAAAGTAAAAAAATAACACTGAAAGCACTTCGAAATAATACTAATTGCTTTTTGACATTTTTCAATAAAAGAACTTGATTTTTCTACAGCTGAACTTTTCTAATCCCTATATCTTTGCAACCTGATGGTGTAAACCTTTATTTATAACTTGGACTTACTGATCGAACATAATTCATAAATTGAAACATCACACATCTTCTACATTGGATTGCAAATATATAAGAGTTAGAAAGTCAGAGTTTGTGGCAGAATTTAAGAAATGTTTTTTGTAAATGTTTGTAAATGTTTGTAAATGTTTGTAAATGTTTGTTAATGTTTGTAAATGTTTGTAAATGTTTGTAAATGTTTGTAAATGTTTGTTAATGTTTGTTTACCTTTTAGTGGGTTTATTACAGGTTTGTTACTTGAAGAATCAAACCTGAAAAACACGAGAGTTAAAAGCACTGTCGACATATTATATCTCGGCTCGGTTGTCAACGGAATTCTTTTAAACCCTTCATCCGATATCCGATCAACAATATGCAAAGATATTGTCGGTATCATAGAGTAATAAAACGAAGAGGTGAAGCTTAGCTCAGATGTACACAACCGACCTCCCTATTAATTTATTATAGAGTGGTCGGTTGTATACATCACGATATGTTTACGTATCTAACACTGTACACTTGTTTATAGAGTGATCGTATTTCTAAGGGTTGGTTTTATGTAGATATCTGAATATTAGTATTGATAATTAGATAGACACTTAATATGGATTTAAATACAGAAAGAAAATCTAAAAATTCCATAAAATCTCCTTTAGAAATATGATTACTGTATACTTCATTGTCTGTATTCTATATCTGGAAAAGTGTTATATCTCAAAATTTCCTTTTCTTTCTCTGCTGCACAAATTCACAAGTTATTTTTACAAAGAAACCACTACTAAAGGTAATAAACTTTTAGATAGAAAAACAATAATGACCCCAGCAGTTTTTCTTAGGAAAAAGTTTAAAGAAACTTAATTGTTAATCTGGCACGACCCTCTTTAAATTAAGAGTCATTTACTTAGACAATTCCTTTGAAATTCCGAAAAATAAAAACAAATATTTATGAGTTATTTAAAGACTAGTACCGTAAAGGAGAACTTATGTTACTTCTTGGCATTGGAATTGGTTTGGTTTGGATCCTATTCTCATCCTCAGTTATTTCTTCCATTGCCTTATTCTCTCTCTCATTTTCATCGATAAAGCTCGTTTCTGTTTTCTTCACCTTTTCTTCCTTCTCATAATTTTCTTGTGAATGTTGTTTTCTTACAATTGTTTCTTTTTCTGTTTTAGAATCTAATCTAAACTGTTCTGTTTTTATAAACTCTTCTTCTTTTACTACGTTCTCTTCATTCCAACTTTCATCTTCATCCCTACATTCATGTTCTTTCTCATTAGTTTCCTTTTCCGTCTTCTTCGTTTTTTCTTCTTCCTCTTCAGCACTCCACTTCTTCACATTTTGTTTCTCTATGCTTATATCATTGTCGTTTTCATTTCGGGTAGAAGGACTAAAATTATACAAACTAATGTTATTTTCAGGAAGTAATCATGCTTTGGGTTTCTAAGATATATAGATATAGTTTTTTCTTCGTCTCGATTTTAGTTGATTTGAATCGAAGAATCTTATTGCTTTCCAAATAATACCCCCCCACCATATATACCTGAAGATTTGCTGGTTCTCCCATATCTCTTCTCTCTCCTGGAGTGTTCCAACCCTACCTAGAGTATCTCCATATCCAACCTAAACCATGATAAAGTTGTACACACTACCTAGAGTATCTCCATATCCAACCTAAACCATGATAAAGTTGTACACACTACCTAGAGTATCTCCATATCCAACCTAAACCATGATAAAGTTGTACACACTACCTAGAGTATCTCCATATCCAACCTAAACCATGATAAAGTTGTACACACTACCTAGAGTATCTCCATATCCAACCTAAACCATGATAAAGTTGTACACACTACCTAGAGTATCTCCATATCCAACCTAAACCATGATAAAGTTGTACACACTACCTAGAGTATCTCCATATCCAACCTAAACCATGATAAAGTTGTACACACTACCTAGAGTATCTCCATATCCAACCTAAACCATGATAAAGTTGTACACACTACCTAGAGTATCTCCATATCCAACCTAAACCATGATAAAGTTGTACACACTACCTAGAGTATCTCCATATCCAACCTAAACCATGATAAAGTTGTACACACTACCTAGAGTATCTCCATATCCAACCTAAACCATGATAAAGTTGTACACACTACCTAGAGTATCTCCATATCCAACCTAAACCATGATAAAGTTGTACACACTACCTAGAGTATCTCCATATCCAACCTAAACCATGATAAAGTTGTACACACTACCTAGAGTATCTCCATATCCAACCTAAACCATGATAAAGTTGTACACACTACCTAGAGTATCTCCATATCCAACCTAAACCATGATAAAGTTGTACACACTACCTAGAGTATCTCCATATCCAACCTAAACCATGATAAAGTTGTACACACTACCTAGAGTATCTCCATATCCAACCTAAACCATGATAAAGTTGTACACACTACCTAGAGTATCTCCATATCCAACCTAAACCATGATAAAGTTGTACACACTACCTAGAGTATCTCCATATACAACCTGAACCATTGATACAGTTGTAAACCCTACCAGAGTATCTCTATGTCCAACCTTAACCATGTGTACAGTTCTAAACCTACCTAGATTATCTCCATATACAACCTGAACCATTGATACAGTTGTAAACCCTACCAGAGTATCTCTATGTCCAACCTTAACCATGTGATACAGTTCTAAACCTACCATAGAATATCTCCAAATCCAACCTTAACCATGTGATATAGTTCTGAACCTACCTTAAAGTATCTCCAAATCCGTCCTAAACAATGATACTGTTGTAATTTGTAAACCCTACCTATACTCTCTATGTCCAACATTAACCATGTGATACAGTTCTAAACCTACCCTAGAATATCTCCGTATCCAACCTAGACTATGATACAGTTCTAGACCTACCCTAGAGTATATCCATATCCAATCTAAACTATAATACAGTGTTCTATAAATCTACCCTAGAATATCTCCGTATCCAATCTAGACTATGAATGATACAGTTCGATTTCTTATGAGTAGACTGTATTTACACATATAGTCATCAAAACCACACAATATTATAAAATGCTGTCTTCCTATTCACCAGTTTTATAGTTCTCTCTGTACATCAATCAATTGTCTAATACCTGTTGGGAAGATTCCTCCTTATCAGATTCTATACCATTCCTCTCATCACCAACTTCTCCGCCCATATTTGTTTCAACTTCTCCGCCCATATTTATTTTAACTTCTCCGACAATATTTATTTTAACCTCTCCGCCCAATTTCTCTTCATTTTCTCCGTTCTCCGTCTCCGTCTTCTCTCTCACCTTAATGAAATTCCTCACTAATTAAAAAGTTTTTAAGTACTATAATAATTAGGATTTATGTCGTGGCTTTCTCAGTTTTAAGAAAGAAATATATGTATGTGTTAATAATCGATTTTTATGAAAATGTAAAGTGAAAAATTTAAATTAAGTTTAGTGTCAATATTCACTGTACAAACTTTAAAACAATGCGACGTTCTTGTACACTGTAAAACTACAAAACTATACATCTGTACAATGTAAAACTTAAAAATTTAGAACTGTACACTGTAAATATATAAAAAAAGCTTTTTTCACAGTAAATCTTCAAATGTATGCTACTGTACACTACATAACTGCAAAACTATGGAACTATAAACTGAGTGTATATTTGCCAAAAACTGCTACTTTACACTGTAAATCAGCAAAAACATGGTACTGTACACTTTAAAATGCAAAACTAGGGGATTGTACACTGTAAATCTGCCAAATTATGCTATTGTACACTGTATAAACTGTTAAATATTACCTTATGGTTAGAATAAAGACCAAATGACTGAATATTGTCGTCCTCTGACCAGACCGGAGACTCTAGGCTGTCCTCGTCATCATCTACTATACTTACCTACAAACAGGGGGAGTACAGGGACAGGTTCAGTCGAAACAAGGAGTTATGTTTGTTTATAATTTCATTATATTTTTCTCCGTCTGGCAATCCATTATACTTTCCCCTCCCCCCACTTTTTACAGTTCGATCATATCTGCTTCAAACCATGAAATAATGCAACAAAAAGTCCCAATTGACTGTAATAACTATGAGGTCAAGGTGGAAGCCAGTTCAAGGTTTAATCAGGAATCGAGTCTTTCTCACAAACTTATATGTTCTATAATGCCTAAATCTCTGCAACCTAATGGTGTAAACCTTTAATATTTCAAACAGAATTAATAGCTTGATATATCTAAGGATTACATTATAGGTTACAAAATAAAGGTATTAGAAAATCAGAGTTTATGGAAAACACTCAATTCCTTTACCAAAGTTCTGAAGAACATTTTAATTACCTTGCGGCATTCTTTGCTGTCCTGAAGTCTGCTTTCTTCCAAAGGTATATAGTAAATTTGCTAAAAAAATCAATAAAATAGAATTTAAGCAAATCGAGAAAATATAATCAATCTTAAGATTTCTCTTTATAATTATTCCCTTTCATTCGGTCAAAAAAAAAATCTATTGACTGTTGGTCCCTTTATTAGTAAAACCGAACCTGTTAAGAGAAAGTCTTTATGAGATCAAAACAACCTGCTGGCGGTAGGTCCCTTCATTATATAAAATTCCAACTTGCTGCTGGCCTTTTATAGGTATTCCAACCTATTGGCGGTAGGTCCCTTTATCAGGTAAAGACCCCTATTGTGGTGGTAGGTCCCTTTATCAGGTAAAGACCCCTGTTGTGGCGGTAGGTCCCTTTATCAGGTAAAGACCCCTATTGTGGCGGTAGGTCCCTTTATCAGGTGAAGACCCCTATTGCGGCGGTAGGTCCCTTTATCAGGTGAAGACCCCTATTGCGGCAGTAGGTCCCTTTATCAGGTAAAGACCCGTATTGTGGCTGTGCTGTAGGCCCCTTTAATACCTGTTGGCCCAAAGAAGCAAGGTTTTCAACAGAATCATAACTTCGAGGGGGCTTCGGAGGACCACATACACTTAGCTTCTGTTGATAAATCCTAGTTGTTTAATATTAAAACTAGAATTGTAATAAGGGCTGGGGGGGGGGGGGGGGGGGGGGGGGGAGGGCAGCTTCATTGATAAATAGTCTATGAATTAGTGCCGACAAATGCATTGCACATTCCTTTTCTTTTTTTACACCACTAAATATCTAAAGAGTGAAAAGACACAATTTGGTAATTTTAAGGGAAATAAAATTTCAATTTAAAGGGGCTGTTAATGTAAAAAGAGCCCTTATCAACGCACAGCGATACCCTTTAAACCCTTTAATAACTTTAGGGTAAAAATATCTTTTTATCTGATCTAGAAATTAAAATCTTCGTTTTGCATGCTGATTCAATTTTAAAAGTTATTTTTTTTCTTTATTAAACTAACTTAAAAATCATTGTTGAGAAAAGCGAAAACGCAAACAGTGTCTCTTAGAAAAATACATTTATAAAATCTTTATACAATAAAATACCAGGCATTTTTCCTTATGCAAGCTGTTTTCAGATAAGCTTTCCGATACATGGCGTGTTCTGAAATAAAAATAAAAATTTTTATAAATTTTTTTTGACAAAAAGTACCTTAGTTACCTTTTATTCAAACTGTTATCTGGGTTTTCTTCAGACAGCAAACGCGGCGAGTTTTCTTGTTGGCACTTTTTAATACCCATGGGACTTGAAGAGATCTTTTTTAAGATTGGAGGATTTTTTACTGTTTGAAGGTCGTCTTTATCTGAGTCGTCTTCCGAGCCAATAAATTTTGACAGGTTAAACATACTCTGAAATAAATCAGAATTAATTTATCTGACAAATATAAAATTCTTCTACATTTAATAAGAAAATATGTTTACCTTTGCTTTCAATAGATTATTATTTTGATTAAAATTAATTGAAGTTTCATTTTCGGAATCATTCCACGAGGAAAGGGAACTGTGCTCTAAATAAAAGATATTATTGTACAGGGTGTCCCACGAATCACAACAATAGCAATATGAAGGTCGCCTTTGATCTTTGAAATTTTTGGCGGCATTTATTCGTAGCCTAACTTAAGTGGATGTATTGTTCTTGAAACAATAACCCCATAGTACCATATAATATTGAAAGAACAAAAAGGCAGACTATATTTTGGAAATGCCAAAATCATGGTTTTTTGTGATTTTTAACTCAATAAATTTTACTGTTAAATAAGGTTTAAAAATAAAGGGCGCAAATTATTTAAGAAATCGACGACGATTTTATAATCGTCTTCCGTGGAACCCCCTGTATGTTAGATGTAAGATTTTGCGTTGTGCTCAACTTATGGAATTATGAATTGTTTTAGAATAATTAATAAATAAAATTGTGTTACAATTTTAAGAATTCTATTACATTGCGAAAAAAAAGAAATAAGAAATTTTATTAATTTGATGCTATTTTATCGTAAATAATTTTATCAGTAGTGTAAAAATCAACTTATAAAGGAGAATAGGTTTTTGCACACATTCTTAGAGATAATGTACGAGGGTTGATAAGTTTTAATAAAAAAGATTTAATATAAACTGATAAATAAGGATGGATGATATTTAAAAAAGTATATTATTATGATAATGATTGTAATTATTCAACATCCGGTAAATTTCTTTATGATTCATGATACAGAGTTTTACAGTTTTTACTGCAGTCTTTTATAGATATTTTCAAATTTTTTTCTGTCATTTAAAAAAAGAAAAACTTAAAAACAAACATATATAAATCTTGAGTTCAAAATATTTATAATGTGTTCGTAATCTGTATTATTTTAAAATAAACTGTAGATTCTAAAAAAAACGTTTTAATATTCAGGTGCAAGCTGAATTAGCAATTATGACGTAAATGTATATAACTTAACTTTGCTCTGCATCTCGAAGGTTCAAGTCTTTTAGAATATATTACATAGATTAAGCCTGCTTATGAAAAGTTGCATCAAGGATAGGGTCGATTTTCAAATGTCGCAACACCTTCTATATTACCGTTCATAACTCACTTATGCTTTTTAGCCCTAAAGTTGTAACATTTTAGAACCATAAAGCGCTTCTCTTTAGCTTCAGTTTTATAGAAGTAATTGGCAAAATTCTCATTCACTTTTGCTTGAGATGTAATGTGTTGTCCCTAGTTCAAGCTCGGGACACAATATAATCTTGAAACACTTGATCCTTCTCGATAAAGGGAGTTTTTTTTTCTGCGGACCAAAATATTATTGTAATACATTAAATGATTATAGTTAATAAAACTATTTAACTGTACCAGGTATATCATCTCTATTGTTGGGTTCATTGTGTTCTTCTACCCATTCATCAAGATCAGATTCAACCCTTTCTTTACCATGATCAATATGATCATCATCTTCATCAACATCATTCCCTTGATGCACAGCACCTGCACCCTCTGCAGGGGGTGCTTCTTCAAGATTTGGCTGAACACCGTTCATTAGAAAATTATATTAATGTTCAAAAATCACTAAGCTACAGGGTGTCCCAAAAAACATGGGAATTCAGTGACGAATTCGATATCGTCTTTTCAAATAATTCTTTGATTTAGTATAGTGATACCTACTGAGAAAGCTGTAATCTATAAGAGTTTCGTCTGCTATGTTTACATTTTGTTTGTTTATGTTTTGACTGCAACCGGTTGTACTTATAGTAAAACAAGAAAATTACATTATACAAACAGAGTAAACTTGTCCGTATTCACTGTTCATCTTGCGGAGACATTATAGACACATCTTTGCAGTCTTTTACCCTTTTAATTAAATAAACTCTAGCAGACATAATATTATGGCTTTTGAAATTAGGTATTACAGTGCTAATTCATAACAAAGACGATATCGAATTCGTCACTGAATTCCCATGTTTTTTGGGACACCCTGTATGTACTGTCTAATGCAAGTAACCCAAACTAACATTATATACTAAATACTTGTCTTGATTACAAAAGTCTGTTTTAAAAATCCCACCAACCTCAAAAAATGTACGGTGGTAAGCGTTTATATCACTACAATGAAGACGACTTTTTATTTAAGTTTTGATTGTTAACAAGGTTTCTTCGAATTACAAGTTAGGAAGTAGTGAAAAAGAAGCTTTTTTAAATTGACAATTTCTCTTGACTTTTATGTTTTTGTGTATCTATATTCTGTACTGTTGAACAGCTAAGTTTATATGAACATTATATTCGAAAGTCGTCTTCTTTGATATAATTGCCTACCACTGTAGTAATAAAATTAAATATTACAAAAATCCAGTTTGAACAAAAAACAATCCAAATAATTGATTTTAATAAAAACCATAAAATTTATACGGAAATTCATTTTTTATAAAAATAAACAGTTCCTTAGATGGGAAGCATGTAACAGGTTCCTCAGAAGTATCAAATTCACGGATAAAACTAAGGACCTGAAATATACAAGGTTAACAATAAAACATACAACTTTTTACAATTCTAGGTGACATGCATTGGCAGTTCAAAATGATGGACACATTTATCTGATTAATAATATTCAAGATATTGTCGTTACTTTTTTAGAGAAACCGAAATTAAAAATGATTAATTTTTAGGTTAAAAAATTGTTTTGTCATTCATTCTTACAAAGGTTTAAGGCACCGTTGTTAATTGGACATATGTTTATTTAAAATGGAGGGTTACGGTCTTGTAATTATTTCTAAAGTCTCTTTAATGACGAGCAAACTTAAATGCAGAAAACTCAAGGTTGAATTCGGTATATTCGGCTTTAAGTTTAGCCTGTAAAAGATTTTATGAAAGAAAGAGACAAGAAAGTATAAACCAAAAATATCAGAATAATTAACAAATTAATTATCTGAAACTCCTTCAAAATCTTCGGTCTCTGATTTGCATGTAATTTCTCAATTCATCATAAAACCACAGGGTTAACCAAAAAGATTAATTATTTGCCCGAGTGAGATTTGTCTTCAATAAACATTATCTTATCAGATACCACAACATGTTTAGTAATACTATTTAACATTGTTCAAGGATTAGGCGCCTTAAAACAAAATTTTCCACTGTGGCTTTGAAGATTAGCGCCATTCTCATACAAGAGTTCCAACCTCTGATGCCATAAACAAATTCAACTAGATTAGTTTACATTGTAATTACACCTGTTGGTTTTTGGTGTAATCATACGCAGTTTTCCCCTCATTATCACATAGTTTAATATCAGCATTGTACTCCAGCAGTACTGAGATTATACTTCTATAGACACAGAGAATCTTACTTTTAATACTAGTATTACTTTTACTGTTGTTATTTTTATTATTATCATTGTTATTTAAATTATTATAACCACTAAAGACGTCTTTAACAATTTTCTCCTTATAGACGCAACAGATAGAAGTAAAATTAGTAGCGATCAAAAGCGCTTTTTTATCGCATTAAGCCTATACCCCCTTTCATTTTTCGTGAACACTCCCTTTAAATTAAAAACAAAACTGTCAACTTTTCTGTCATAGTCTTTTTTGAAGTTAATATTATAGATTTATATTTTTGTAACGCCTACTATAATTCACTCTTGTTCTAAATTAAAATTCAAACTGCATGCCACAAACTTTAATAATGGTATCATTTTTATCATACCAACCTAAAATTGCAGACCTTTGATATAAATCAAACTTTAAATTATGTTAGATTAGATCCATGAAGTTTAAGGAATAGAACATTAAAGTTGCAGGCATGTGTTCAGTTTCTTTGATATTAAATTAGAAAAATCGTTTATTAATTTATAATAATAATATAATATTTTTTACCATTTTTACTAGAGAAGATGTTCACGTAAGCACCATTTCTAAGTAAAAGCTCTACAATCTGAAATTTAAAAATTATTAAACCCTAAACACTCTTATTTTTGACACTATCACCGTGTGACTTTTTATAAAAAGTTTTTTTTGCAAAAAAAATATTTTTTTAATTTATAGGGTAGGGTAAAGGGTGGAAATAAGTCCGGAATGTGAAAAAAACCTAAAATATAACTTTTTTGTGACTAAAGCTACAGATCTGATAACAATAGTTTTGAAAACCCCTTGAAAAATGCAAAAAATATTTTTTTAATTTTTGACCCTTTTTCAGGCTTTTTTTTCAACCATCTCTTGCACCTAAACTATTAAAGTTATCGGTCTAATTTTTTTTCTTTGAGCTGGCCTTGAAAAATTGGGCTATGAACATTCCTTTCAACCCTATAACTATTCTCTAAGACCTTTTTCTAGAAAATATCAGGAGTTCATCCAATAGGTCGGGGAAACCTAGAATATAAATATCAGGAGTTCATCCAACAGGTCGGGGAAACCTAGAATATAAATATCCGGAGTTCATCCAACAGGTCGGAGAAACCTAGAATATAAATATCAGGAGTTCATTTAACAGGTCGGAGAAACCTAGAATATGAATATCAATGCCGATCAAACTGTGACTAAAATAAAGTTATAACTCTTATCTGCACTCTAATTAATATTATTATCATTATCATTAACATTATTATTATTATTATTCTCATCATTATCATCATTACTATTATACATTTTATTACTTAAAATATGATTATAATATATATTTGGTTCGTGATATCTAATTACCACAGGCATTCGAAATAACGATATTTTTACTCAAAATTAGAAACACAATGTATGTGACTTACAAATTTTTCAAAAATTTGTGCCGTAAATTTTGAATTTTTCTCGTAATTTGTAAATACTTTAGGTGAGTTAGATAATTATGTTTGTCATGTTTTAAACGTATTATAGAAGTACATTTTTTACTCAAATAGTTTTGTATTTCTGTAAAGTACTTTAGGTTGTAATCTAATCGCTCTGTTTTATCTGGAAAAATGAATATAACTGTGTCAGATTGAATTTTGATTTATAGAAAATTTGATCTGTTAAGTGCTGAATGGAAACCGATTTAAAGAGACTGTAAAGGAAAAATGAAAGGGGGTATAGGCTGAAAGCTAATCACTTTAGCTCTCGATCGCGACCCATGAAAGTTATATCTGATGTTCCTATCTCGAGAAACTGATTTACAACTTTGTCAAATTTTTACGAAAATTAATATATATACAATTTTGTATAAAGCTAATTGTAACTTAGGTTTACTCCAATTCTAATTTTATATTTGTTATTTCTATTTTTTAAGTCATTTTATTATGATTCAAGTCATAATATTATTTATACGTCCGTGTTGCTAGACCAGAAATTCCACCAATGGCAGTGCAGTAAAGTGGTCACGTGATACAGGCGGAGACAAGTGACCAGTATACTGCTCTGCCATTGGTGATAGTTCTGGTCACAAGATTTTAGTTTAAGATTTTCTAAATTTTACAAATATGACCTTTCGTATAATTTTAACACAGTTTTATATCAATTTCTTGAGACAGGAACATCAGATAAAACTTTCATGGGTCGCGATCAAGAGCCAAAGTGATTAGCTTTCAGCCTATACCCCCTTTAATTTTTCCTTTAGAGTCCCTTTAAGAAAAAAGTTTTGATTCTCGTTCCTTGGGGATTTCTTAGCTGCTAACATCAAAGGAGTAACTAAAACAAAGATTTTTTAATACAAAAGAAAAATATACAATTTAGATATTAAAAAAAAATATTCTTTGAAAAAAATACTTTATTATTTTTCTTAATTTCTCCAGAAATAAAGATTAATATTAAATTCACATTAGTTAAAAGCTGCATGATCCGAACAGTACAAGAGTACCACTCTAGTCTTTACCGTACTAGCCCGTCTAGTGTACCCAGTACGCAATATGGACGACTTTAAAGTATTTTTTCTTTTTCTTTTTAATTTAAGCTATTTTTATATTAAATTTCAAAAACTTAACCAACTGTGAATTCGTATATTTAATTGAGAAATTGTTGAGAAAAAAGTATCTTAAAGGGAGTGTTCGCGAAAAATGAAAGGGGGTATAGGCTTAATGCGATAAAAAAGCGCTTTTGATAGCTACTAATCTTAAATCTATCTGTTGCGTCTATAAGGAGAAAATTGATAAAGACGTCTCATACCGAAGAGCGTAGCACCCATACAAATTGAGGAAGTTGGAACATAGGACTTAGACCGTAAAAAAATCAAATTAATATCAAACAAATCATTCAGATATTACAACCTATAGTCATCGATTATCTTTCGCCACATTTGTATATATTTGATATTTCATACTAGTTTTGATTTTGTTTTTTAANATAAAATATATTGTTTGAATACGGAGAGTGGCTAACATTAGTAAACAGGGTGTCTTACTTAACATGGCAAATAAAAATAAACTTAAATATCGATTTACAACTAAGTTGCACACCTTTTTACATATCATACTCTGCTACTAGATTAAGGACCATCCTTATGCCGCCTCTTAGTCCTAATTGTCACATTTTTTGGAACACCCTTAAAACCCATTTTAAAAATTCCTACCTCTGGGTTTCCCATGCTGACCGCCAGATGTAGCGGGGATAGACCGTCATGGCTGAGAGTATCAGGGTTCGAACCTTTTCTAAAAATATTCTCTGTTTACTCACATAAAGTGTTGAGGAGGAATCAGGGAGGGGAAGAGGTAATTAGAATTTTTTTTTTACAATTCATTTTTTAATTTTCATATTTCCCACTTGTAAACAAAAACTTTAGGATTCGCGGGGCCTAGGGGGGATTATAATTTAAGCATACATTTTTTTAACAAATAGGAAGTAAATTTTCTTTCAGCAAACAAAATTAAAAAAGTATTTTTATTTAGAAAAAAAATTGGTTTATTCACCTTAATATCACAGCTAACGAGTCAATATTTCTCTGCCTAAAAAAGGTGAATTTTAAATATTAAAGGGACTGTTTATGTGATCTTAAGGAACCTTTCGGCACTGGGATCTTGGTCTTTGTTTAAAGAACCCGGCTAGTTGGATTCTGCGCAGCAAAAGCAAATTTAAGATGCAGATAAATCATTACCTTTTATTAAGATGATTAAAAAGTGTGTAATTACATTTTGTCAAAGTCCTTCCTTTTTTATGATTTATAAATCCACAATATATTCAAGACATCGAAAAACAACATGTTCAAATTTTTTTTTTTTCTTGAGTTAATCATTAATAGTTAAAAATGAATTATTCAATTAAATCATCTCACGAGAATAAATCAAACACCATTAAAATTACAAGTTTTGGATATACAGGGCATCTCACAAAGGATGATAGTTCAGAGACGACTGTACAGAATTTAAACTGTCTGTTTCCTTAAATTTATGATTTCCTACAACTAAACTTGTTTCTTTGCCTATTCATTAAATAAACCGTACACAGATTATATTCAAGGCAGAGGACTTAGGTTAACCTCGGATCATCGTCAAATTTATAGAGTTTCAGGTCGTCTTTACAGTATCATCCTTTGTGGGTAACCCTGTATCTGCAAATTATATAAATATAGACCATGAAACATTAATAATTTGAACTAAGAATATAGATCATATACATATTTATTATGAACTATGAATTTTGAAAATATCTCCATATATAGATCATATATAAGATATCAATTATGAATTAATAATATAATATATTTTATATTATAAACTGTGTAGACATCTTACTTATGTGAATATCTACACAAATATAGATTATATAACATATTATTATTAATTATGATTTATGAATATTTTGTATTATTGAAACACAACGCCTGACCTTGAATTAGCAGACATGTTTTAGAAACACTTGAATCAAATAACGTTTTTAATGTTTCATTGTAAACTTAAAGCGTAAGCTAAGCTTTATTACTTCAAAACAGTATTTAAAATGATGCTTATTTAGCGGAATAATTTGTATTTAACGGGCAAACTAACTTATCGCGTAGATTAACCATTATTACTTTAAAACAGTATTTAACATGATGCTTATTTAGCGGGATAATTTGTATTTAACGGGCAAACTAACTTATCGCGTAGATTAACCTTTATTACTTTAAAACAGTATTTAACAAGATGCTTATTTAGCGGGATAATTTGTATTTAACGGACAAACTAACTTATAGAGTAGATTAACCTTTATTGCTTTAAAACATTATTTAACAAGATGCTTATTTAGCGGGATAATTTTTATTTAACGGACAAACTAACTTATAGCGTAGATTAAGCTTTATTACTTCAAAACTGTATTTAACAAGATGCTCATTTAGCGGGATAATTTGTATTTAACGGAAAAATAACTTATCGCGTAGATTAACCTTTATTGCTTTAAAACATTATTTAACAAGATGCTTATTTAGCGGGATAATTTGAATTTAACGGAAAACTAACTCATAGCGTAGATTAAGTTGTATTACTTTAAAACAGTATTTTACAAGATGCTAAGTCGGAGGGATCAGTTTGTATTGAGAATAACAAAAAAGGCTAAAATTTAATAACAGGCAGCGAAACAAAAATTAGAACGGGATCTTTAAACCTTAATCTCAGAACGATAACGGCAAAGTCATGAATTTTCTAGAAAATGAAAGTAGAAAAAGAATATATCGGTGTCATGCAATGGAACTCAATACTTAGAGACGACCGTTAGCCTAAAACTTTGCTACTAAATAGACCATAGAGCATGAAAGTTGTTCAGTATTTAGTGAAAAAGTTTAATTTTAAGCTAAGGATAACATTTTTAGTTAATTATGCCAACTTGAAACAATTGAGTTCTTGAAGTTCGTCTTCCTATTCCCCAGTTTTATGTATCCCACTGTACCAACTATTCCACAGTTTTATGTATCCCACTGTACCAACTTACTTTATTAAGTTTGTTTTCAGGAGTAAAACTCTGAATTCATGGTAATTGAGGACTAGCTAAAATTTTGTTGACAATTTCTTAAAATAAAGCTAATTACCTGACCGCAATATGACAAGCAGTATTTCCGTTTCCGTCTTTTTAAACATTTTTTAGGTTTTACAGGTTTTACAGATTTTACAGATTTTACAGATTTTACAGATTTTACAGATTTTACAGATTTTACAGATTTTACAGACTTTACAGATTTTACAGACTTTGTTAGAAGAAGATTTAAAAAGTTTTTGTCGTTTCAATGCTTGAAAAATGCTTAATTCTAAATATTTCTCCTGGCTTTGAAACGTAAATCCGTATAACATCCTTTCCACAGAGAAATCGAAATTGTAAAAGAACAGTTTTCAATCAGATCTCATTCATGATCAGACAAAGCTTTTAGTACTACTGTTGTGAATAGGACATGCCACACTAAACTGACGGTTACTTAAACGGTATTCTTGATATTTTCTGTGTCAAGGCAAAAAGCACAATAATCACAATAAAACAAGAAATGCAGTTCTATGGCTTCCTTGCTTCTTAATTATATCTTTAATAACTGATTCATAGGCTAATACATATATATATATATTCAAATTTACAGGAAATAAAATGGCGAATTATAAAAATATCCTTTCTTTAAAAAAATCTTTATAATGATAATAATGGTCATTTTTCCAAGTTATTTTGCACATTATCTTTCGCCACATTTGTATATAGTTTATATTTTATAATTATATTTCTCTTGTCGCTTGCGCATCTATCTATAAATGCCACGCACCACTCAGATTTTTCAAAATCCGTTTAAAACGTTTTCTAAACATTAAAATATAAAAAAATTTATTAAAAAATATTATAAAATATAAACTATATACAAATGTGGCGAAAGATAATCGATGACTAAATGGTTGTAATATCTAAATGATTTGTTTGAAATTAAATTGATTTGTCACAAAGACAATGCCCATTTCTAGTTGATAGATTATAAAAAATGTTTATTATTCCTGGAATATCTGTAGCCGCCCCCCGGTCCAATAAAAATTGTACTGCTTCAATATGATCCCCTTCCACTGCCTAAAATGTAAACAAACAAAATTTAAGAAAACAGAAAAAAAAATTATTTCCAGATTGAAAGAAACGATATTATTTTCACAACTCTGGATTATAACAGATATTTTTATATAAGACACCATATTGAAAATCTTGAAGGAAAAAAATAGAAAATTTGAAGAATAAACATTACTCTTCCTTTTTACCTTTTGCAATGGAGTAGAGCCATCATTGTCTCTTGCATTGATTAACCCCCCGTTAGCGACTAAAAATACAACAAAGTTGGGATATTCATACGAGGTTTAAGTATTTTAATTAGGTATATGACTGAAGTTCAACTATTATCCAATGTCGCTATTCTCCAAATCAATATCTCTGGTTTAAAATTCAATATGGTTTTAGAGGCATTTGAAAAAGAATTTTAACTCGCCACACTTAGTTCAAATACTCTTGCTTTACATGATGGATATATCTAAAATGATTTACATTTTTAAAACTATCCAACTTTCTTCAGCTATTGGTTGGAATTTTTATCCCCTTCCCATACTAAACTTTCCTTCCTTCCTTCTTATCTACCTACCTACCTACCTACCAATCTACCTGCATACCTTTCTACCTACCTACTTTCCTACCTACCCACCTACCCCCCCCCCATACCTACCTATACCTACCTATCTTCCTACCTACCTATACCTACCTATCTCCCTACCCCCCTACCTACCTATCTATTTACCTAACTTCCTACCTACCTATCTACCTACCTACCTCTCTACCTACCTATCTATTTACCTAACTTCCTACCTACTTACCTACCTACCTATCTATTTACCTACCTTCCTACCTACCTACTAACTCCCTTAAGCTCCTAAACTTACCTAGATGGTATAGTATATTTATATGTCCAGCAGAAGCTGCTAGATGAAGCGGTGTCCTGGAATAATATATTTATATGTCCAGCAGAAGCTGCTAGATGAAGCGGTGTCCTGGAATAATATATTTATATGTCCAGCAGAAGCTGCTAGATGAAGTGGTGTCCTGGAATAATTTATTTATATGTCCAGCAGAAGCTGCTAGATGAAGTGATGTCCAGCGGAAGCTCCTAGATGAAGCGGTGTCCTGGAATCAAAATCTTGAATAAAAGAAGGAATGAGCTGTACATTTCCTAGCTCCAAATTGATTACTTTCAATTGGGACTTCTTTAAAAATATTTAAATAAAGAATTACTTGAGAAACTAAAAGTACAGACACTTTTCTTTAAAAAAAAATATTTACCTCCCCCTTGAGTCTATCAGGTTAATGTCCAACTTCTTCAAATATTTCTTTAACTAAATATAATTATAGTTATACAAATTTTTAATTTAAAACGTATTTAATTTTTTTTTATATTTAAAACTATGACCTTTTCTAGATCGCCGTTCAATGCAGCGTGATGAATTTTTGAAACAGTTTTGTCTCTGAAAAATAAATTTTATTTTCTTTAAAATTTTTTGTTACAAATATTTAAAATTAAAAAGAAACTGAACACTCGTCTCAAAATCTATTTTGAAATTTCATCATCTTTGCAACCTGATGGACCTTTAATATTTCAAACTATGAGTTCAGCAAGATTAAATTTCAAAATAGTAAACGTTTGAAATACCAAAGCTTTCAGAAGTCAAAACTTCTTGAGTTTTGAGGAGGGTAATCAGTTCCCTTGTTGGAATGATGAGTAAAAAAAATGAAAAATGTATCTGTTACCCTCCAGAGAGTAAATGCCATTTTAACAGAATTTTATAAATGTATGTTTATAGTTTTATTTAATGATGTTACTTGAGTTCTAGACCATAGCTGGATACACTGCCAATATCTAGAGCAGTGGTCGACTGAAACAGTCGGAGAGGTGTTCTCCTAAACAAAATATAAAGTTTTTGGAAGTGCCCCCCTTCTAGTGTTTTATTCTTATATGAGACAATCAGTCTAAAACTTTTTGACTTTTAGGAATGCGAAATCTAGAAAATTATTTTTACTCATTTTAATTCTTTTCTAAAAAATATTTATTTTCGTATTGGTTACCCATGGGAAAGAGGAGAGGAAGAGTTTCCCAAAAAACCTGAATTGTTGAAAAATTAGAATATAATTAAAATCAAATTTTCATCAAAATAAAGATATTTTAATAATAAAAAATGTTAGTGTAAAAAAAGTAGTAGCATTTGTGATTGTATTTAAAAAATTTTGAAGCAAAATCTGAATTTAAAAACCTTATAATATTTACATTAAAAGCACTGATTACTTGAATTAAAATCTAACTTTCTAATTATACACAGACCAAATCTCCAACGTTTGAAATGCTAAAGTTTTACCTGATGGTTTGTGGCCCACAGCTAGAGATAGCATTGAACCCCGGGACGATATGGAACCTTCCTTATCCTTATCCTTGTTTTTCCCCTTTACAAGTCTAAATATTAATTTGTGTCTTTACATCACATAGAAGTCAAAACGTGGAAACCGATCTGGCTCACATTTTGTGGTAATTTTAAAACCCTATACGGGCCCTGTGAAGGTTTTTGTTAAAAAGTTTGCGTTCCAGAAATTAGTTTCTTTGCATTTTCGGAAAATCCATCCATTGAATCAGAAAAGTTCGAAAAATCGTAGATTGTTTTTTTCGTGATAAATAGATATCTATAAAACTATTTATATATATATATAACTATATATCTATAAAACTATATCTTTTGGTGAAATAAGTACAATGTTTTCCTTTGCGAATTCGGATAAACTCAAAAAAGAATTACATTTTTTTAAAGTGGACATTTTAACTTACCGCAAAACTTTCTTCATTTTGAAGCTTAAAATTTATCCACTGAAGTACCCTATCCTATACTCTGCCATCATGCATTTATTCACTCTCTGAAATCAAATAATCAAAATCCATTTTTTAAATAAAATGTCAAAAATGTTAAAAATAGAAGAAATTAAAAAATTACGCAACATTGTTTTACATAACACATGTTAAAACATAATTAAAGTATAAATGTTCATTTATAGTATATGTATTTCAAATTTAGTAAAAAGTGTTTAAAATTATTAAAATTAACCGACTGTACATTGCATCATATCTTTGATCTTATATGGCTAACAACGGGCAAAGATACGTTTTACTCGACTGAGTTTTAAAAATTAAGGTCTGCATGAAGTTTTCTATCTTGAATTCAAAAAGAAAATTTGTTAATATGAAGAGACTGAAATTGTTAAAAAAAGTGCTTAGCCGCCAAGCGCATAAATAATCTTGATTACGGAGAAACATCGGAAGTAACTGCAAAGTGTACCAGCCATAATTAAAAAAGCTACCCTTTAAAAGGTGAATTATTTTTTCTCAAAAGTACCTCCCCTTTATGTAACATCATGTAACTTTTTGTAAAGTATATCTATTTTTTAAGCATTTCATTTATTCTGATGTATGTTGCATGAGTCGTGAACAGTATATTTCTACAATCTATATTACAATGATCCAAATGTTGCAAGCTCTGATGCAACAATCAATGAGAACTTTTTTTAAAGTGCGTAATAGTTTTAAAATGCACATGTTTAGGGCTACACTTTGGTATATTGGAATTAGTTAAATAAAATCAAAGGCTCAGTCGACATATTCTAAAAATTGATGCCAATCGTGATATCAGCCTGGATTCATGTGGCTTGAGTATATATCAGTCTGGATCTATGTGACTTGCGTAAATAGCAGTCTAGATCTATGTGACTTGCGTATATATCAGTCTGGATCTATGTGACTTGCGTAAATAGTAGTCTAGATCGATGTGACTTGCGTATATAGCAGTCTGGATCTATGTGAATTGCGTATATATCAGTCTGCATCTATGTGACTTGCGTATATAGCAGTCTGCATCTATGTAATAACATATATGGCAGTCTAGATCTATGTGACATGCGTATATAGCAGTCTGGATCTATGTGACTTGCGTAAATAGCAGTTTGGATCTATGTGACTTGCGTATATAGTAGTCTGGATCTATATGAACAACATATATAGCAGTCTAGATCTATGTGACTTGCGTATATCGCAGTCTGGATCTATGGGACTTGCGTAAATAGCAGTCTAGATCTATGTGACTTGAGTATATATCAGTCTGAATCTATGTGACTTGCGTATATATCAGTCTGGATCTATGTGGCTTGGGTATATAGCAGTCTGGATCCATATGACTTGCGTAAATAGCAGTCTAGATCTATGTGACTTGCGTAAATAGCAGTCTGCATCTATGTGAATAACATATATGGCAGTCTAGATATATGTGACATGCGTATATAGCAGTCTGGATCTATGTAATTTGCGTATATAACAGTCTGGATCTATGTAACTTGCGTATATAGCAGTCTAGATCTAAGTGAATAATATATATAGCAGTCTAGATCTTTGTAACTTGCGTATATAGCAGTCTGGATCTATGTGAATAACATATATAGAAGTCTAGATCTATGTAACTTGCGTAAATAGCAGTCTGGATCTATGTAACTTGCGTATAAAGACTTCTAGATCTATGTAACTTGCGTGTATAGCAGTCTGGATCTATGTGATCTATGTGTATAGCAGTCTAGATCTATGTGACTTGCGTATAACATTCACAGTAATTACATATTCAGAAGTATGAATAGATATATTATATTTTTATTTCATGCTTTAACATTTTTCTTTTAATACAGAGGATTCAGATATATAATAGAAATATGATAATATGAAATATTGCATTCAAGCTCTACGTTATAAATACACACGGGATATACTGTAAATTAATCATGTATCTAAACTTTTTAACACGTTTTTTTCGGTACTGAAAAAAAATGTGAAATCTTCAATCCATAGTTTTAAAGGATAAAGATAAATTTCTATGTTCTAAGATACTAACTCCCGAAAGACTATGATAAACAATCGAAAGACAAACAAAAATGTTCAATTGTTAAAAAAATCTTCTAGCAAATGTAAAATCTAATCAAAGTCAAACAAAAATTTGGATCTTTATGATAATACTAATAGTTCTTATGACTATCAACCAAAGCATTCAATTGTGTTCATAAAATAACTGCTTTCCATAAACACACTGCTTGTTTAGTTTATACCAACGAAATATTATGACTTGTTTCCATCTAGGAAATATTATGACTTGTTTCCATCTAGGAAATATTATGACTTGTTTCCATCTAGGAAAGTCAGGAAATGCTCTACTAAATTCGTACCGGCCCAGTCCTAACATCGTACCGTACTAGGATTAGTTCCGCACCGCAGTTCAAAAGTTGGTTAACAACAAATCTGCTGTTTGAAACATACTTTAAAACAAATTTGTTGAACGATAACGCCTTCCAAACTTTAAGCTAAGTTAATTGAATTGAGTCAGTATTTTTGTTTTGATCGGTTTTATTGTTGCAGATACAATTTTACAGCTCTGTGCCGAGTCAGACAGTTGTTTATGTTATAAGAACCAGAACTCTACAAGGGACATATACTGTAAACGTTATTATAAGTGATTCTCCATTTCTAGAGTACCATATTCCATTCACAGTGGTTCCCCTTAATCCTTTTTTAGAGCTATGATATGATTGGGTCTTCAGAATTTTTCAGTTATTTTTGAGCCAATAAAATTTCTCTTTAACTTGAAATTTTTTCTACAGAAAATGTTTTATATATCTTTATATTCGCCCGATATTTCTGCGTCTGATACTCCTGTATGCCAAGTCCATTAGCGCCAGGTCTAATCAGGGTTCAGTCATGTGTTTCTTGTCTATTCTGAACCAATAGAAATAGTATGGAGGTGTAACATCTATCTTTCTATCTATCTCATTATCCAATCAGAGTTATGAATCCTTCAATCGGCGCTATCAGTAAATGGAAATATTTACTTCTATTTAAACTATAGTTGTGATTTCTAGAATGTATTCACATATAGGTGAAAACACACACAAGCTCAACACAAGCTTATAAATTCAAACTTCCATACAATATACAGTATAATACACTAAACTAGACAAACTATGAAGATCAAATTTATGCGATATAACTGCTACGATGTTCTGACCTCGTAGCTCATTTAGTTTTTGGATTTTACCCAAAAGTATGTAAAACCCAACTTATCCGGTTAGATGTAAAAAAAATCCAAAAGGGGATGGTGGAGTTGGCACATTTGATGTAGGGGGGGGGGCCCTGCCTTCATTTTTGGTTCAAATCTTCCAATTTTTTGGGTGCACGCCTAATTAGTGATCGAAATTCATAAAATAAAATCAAATTGAATTTTAATGACCTCTAATGACCTCTAATGACCTCTAATGACCTCCACAAATCATGCATGGTTTACA